TTAACAGGATGGAGAATTCTCCCATAAGCCAAAACCAGGTGGAAATACATGATTATAGAAATGGGTTAATAATTAAGACAGAGATAGCCAATAAGAAGCCCAACCACCAGCCAACTGTTGTATACCTAATATACCATCTGTGTATTCATTTAGGACTAAAGGGTGGCAGAGTCAAACAGGATGAGGAACATATATATATATATATATATATGTATATATATATATATATATATATATATAGAGAGAGAGAGAGAGAGAGAGAGAGAGAGAGAGCGAGATTGAGAGAGAGAGAGAATGTGTTTATAGACCTTAAGTGTTGATCATCAAAAATTTAAAATCTGTTCTATGATATGCTTCAAAATTCACCAAGTTTTGAGTGCTACATATACTCAAAGTGTCATTGAGAGCAATCTGGATTCCTGAATTTCCATAGTTCAGGTGGACACTTGCCTTAAACTGTGTGGAAGAAGAATACAGATCAGAACAAGGAGCTACAAAGGATTTTGCTGTTTGGTTGTTTTTGAGGTAGAGTCTTACTAAGCAATTCTCAGAATGGCCCGGAACTCACTCTAGACGAGGCTGGCCTCACACTCACAGAGATCCTCCTGCTTCTGCACCCCAACTGCTAGAATTAAAGGGATGTGCTACCATATCTTAAAAAATAAGTAAGTCTATAATTACAAGCAGTTATGTTACCCAAAAAATTTTCTCTAGAAATATAAGTAAAAGCATTGCCTATACTTCACAAATGTCTACTCATATTTTAAAGGTAAAGTGAGATGAAAAGATAACATATGGGAGAATTTAGAGTAATGAAAATGTTTAAATACTATGCTTCCTCCTCCTCCCCCTGGAAGGAAAGGTGAGGTTCTGAAGAGACCCTCCAACACAGTTGGAGGAGAGAGAATAGCTCCTTTCAGTGAAGGTCAGCACAGTATATAGGGACCATATGGGGAGTGCTCTGGAATAATTAAAACAGCAGTTGTATGTACAAGGTCCTTTTGTGCACCAGGAATACATCCTGGTTCCACTGCCTGAGGTCCCTTAGACTGCGCAGTCCTTCTAGCTGAGACCCATATTCCCATGGAGGGCACTCCCTTATCCTAGAGACAGGAAAGAAATCCTAGTCCCTACTTCAAATGACTTCACAGATTTACATGACCCCACCTGGATGGCATTGCCCTACATGTGGAATTGGGGTAGGGGGATGGGAGGGGAGTGTGGCCAGTGTACATGTGAACAGGGAGAGAGTGTAAGAGGTAGGGAGGGAGGGAGGGAGGGAGAGGGAGGGAACTGGGATAGACATCTAAAAGAAAATAATAGTGACAATGATAATAACAGCAGTCTTAAATGCAGATCCAATTAGCTGAATCATAAGTCAGAATCACATCCTGCAGCTCTCATCGTGTTATCTTACTGTCTGTCAGCTTATGTCTAATATGTGCCCTGAACACTACACAGATTTCAACAGAGCATGGTGTTTTTGAAGCTTTTCAACAAATTAGATGTTTATTAAAATAACAGCATAAGGTGCATATATAAATATTCACACTTTGAATTCCCTCAGCTTTACACCTATGTAAAGAATTCTGATATTTTCAAGGTTTTCTTTTTAAATTGGCGTGTGTGTGTGTGTGTGTGTGTGTGTGTGTGTGTGTGTGTGTGTGTGTCTTTCTTTCTTTCTTCCTCTTATTCTTTCTTTCTACCTTTCTATCGACATGGGGGGTCATGTCCATGCAAGGTACAGTGGCCAATGAGGCCAGAGGCATTGGATCCTCTAAAGATGAAGATTACATGGACCTTGAGCTATTCAATATGTGTGCTAGGAACTGAACTCAGGTCCTCTGAAACAGCAATATGTGCTTTTAAAAGCTGAGTCACCTGTTCATCCCAAATATGAAGGTCATAAGTTTGAGTGGAATGGTGCTTATTTTTATATGTGCAATGTGGAAGGCAGGCTACAAGCTCTAGAGAAATTTTACTTGGGTAAATATCACACCACTCGAGATGTATTTTACATAAAACACAAACAAAAAACAACAGAACCACACACAATGCCAAACTATTATCTACTATGTATATAGTAGTGGCTACTGTGTATATAGCCACACAAGTTAAGCAAAGGATGCTGGTGCTATTTAAGAGTCAGTAGGATTGACGGAGGATGATGTGCATATGCTTTTTGTGTTTCTTTGTTAGCTTGTCATTTTTTGTGTTGCATTTTATTTTGTTTTCTGAAATGGTTTCATTATGTACCCCTAGCTGGCCTGGAAGTGGGTATGCATACCCAATTGCCTGAAAATGAAAATGATTGCCCAGTTTGACTCAGAGTACGATTCAAATGTGCCTGACAGCATACACAGATATTTTTGGAAATTTGTGACCATATACTTCCCAATAATCCAACTTTGAAGGTGATGGGAGATGTCACTCTGTAAATATGTTCCTCATACTGGTTAATGAATTAAGTATTGTTGGTCAATAGGAAAGCAAGACAGGTAGTACTAGGAGACAAGCAGGATTCCAGGAAGGAGAAAGGAGGAGTCAGCATGGAGAGACTGGGGAGACCAGACGCCGGCCCCATTCCCTGGTAAGATGAAACCACTTGGAAATACTTAGATTAACAGAAATGGGTTAATACTTAAGACAGAGCTAGCCAATAAGAAACTAGTATCTGGCCAACAGCATTATATCAAATACAGAGTTTCTGTGTGTTATTTGAGGCTAGTGTGGTGGTGGGCCCAGGTGCCTGGGGGTGGGGGGAACTACTACATACATGAAGGTTTGCAACGTGAAAGCGCTTGATTTAAGTCAGAGCCACATAGGTCATGGCCAACCATGAAATGTTCTAGTCACACAGTTTGGGAGGTTTTATTTTGTTTTGATTTTTAGTTTTTTGAAAGAGCATCTCTCTCCGTGTAGCTCTGGCTATCCTGGAAATCACTCTGTAGTTCAGGCTAGACACAAAATCAGAGATCTGCATGTCTTTGCCTCCCAAGTTCTAGGACTAAAGCCATACACAAACACTGCCCAACTAAAAGTCAGATTATAAAAGTAAACAAATTCATAAAATACTGTGAAGAATCAGAAATTACTTTTGAATTCTTCAAGTTAAAGACTCAAATATTACCATGCATTCAATATGTAATCCAGATGACTGAGACCCCTATCATTTTACAAATTAATCATTCCCAATTGTGATTATGCTTCCAAAGGTAAAAAATAAAAAATCACCAAAATCAGCAAAATCACTTAAACTCCAGGGAATTCCTGTTTCAAGTACAATAAATCTTATAGAGTGTGTACCATCCCAATAAATGGTCTACAGAGACGATCAAAGCATGGTTGACCCATCATAGTGGCATCATCTATATATTTGTCCCACTCCAAGGATTGTTACTACTTGAAGTCTTCAATATTTGCAGTGTAAGATATATTTACATTTTAGTGAAATATGACTCTCAAAATGATTGCTGATGTCCATAGCTAGTTGAAGGTATATACTACCCATGAAGATTTCTCTTTAATTCCACTTCAACTGGAAAGCACAATGCAAATGATTAGCTCTTTGGAAGTCATTAAAATGCTAACTTAATAAATCACCAGCAGAGGTACTAAATACATCTTTGAAGGGCTAAGCTCCCTGGGATTATTACAGTCATCAAACTCTAGACCTTTCCTTAACTTTTAAATCAATACTTTGAAATTTGCTACATAATTAAAATAACCATTCAAAAATTCTTAAAGTATTGTTAATATGTAGTCACAATGCTATTCCACTTAAATACTTCTCATTCATTCTCCCCAAAAATAACTAATGGTACCTTATTAATAGCACTGTGCCTTTAAAGGACCTGCCATGACATTTCACTGAGAAAGTGAGATATCAGTCATTTTCATTAATGCTAATAAGCCAAAACCCAGAGTTAATGAAACAATTTCAAATAAAATCATCACTACAAAATCCTAAATACTGTTGGGTGAAAATGTTAATTTAAACTAAACTAAACTATTATATACAATATATATGGATACATGATATGTATTTAAAATATGGGTTAAAAAAAAACACTACCTCTGGCAAATGCTGTCTTTATACAATCAGGTGAATATCCTGCTTTAGTTAGTCTGCAAACAAAGAACAAATATATCTATGTTACTCATCAGAAAGAAACACCACACTTTAGGCAAAGGCCAATTCCAAAGCAGTTCCAATCTCAAAATCTGCTGAAAAAAAAAAAAAAAAAAAAAACAAAAAAACAACCACTGATCTTCCCAGATCCATTTCTACAGTTCCACACTTCTTATGGAGTTCTGGCTTCTTCTTAGAGGTGTTCATGTTTACAACTGGATGTTTCTATAAATTGTACTTGGTTGAGTGCTATCTTACAGAGTATACATACATTCATGAAGTAGAACATACTAGATACACAAGTAGAAATGTGTCATTTTATGACTAAGGAAACTGAGGCAGGGGCTTTAACTGACTCTGAAAGGAAAAGAACTGCTCTGAGTTACCCACACTTTCCCTTGTAAAATTTAAAATTCCACTAAATGAGGAGACTATTGCATTTCTAAAGTTTGTATCTTTAAGTGTTACATTTTTAAACAAGTGCTACTTAATTCCTGTTTCTTAGACTTGAAATAGAACAGCTTTATTTACTTAGTAATGAAGTACTCTAAGAAAGCATCACAGTGTCAGAAAGGCATCCTTTTTTTTTGCCCACTCTTGTTTTTTTCTACACTCATCATTCTGTAATGTTTTTACCTGACACTTTTAATAGTGTGACTTGTAAAAGCATCTTGAAGTGTCCCCGAAGTAACCAAAGAAAAGTATTTCACACAAATTAAACTTCATAGTACTAAAACTGAACAGATATTTTACAACATTATGAAATTTACTACATTTTTTAAAAAAATTATATTTATAAAGCATTACACAATGAAGAAACTATTTCAAATAAAGTATTCTTATGAATACTTACTTTTGTCTCATCAGAGTATTTTTTCTCTTTAATTCATTGATGTTTATTTCCAAAGCATGAGCTTCCAGCTTGAAAAAAATAATAGATTTTGAAACTATATCTATAAAATCTCAAATGTCTAGAGCATGATGGCATATAACTTCACAACTAAAAACAGGTTAAGAATCTGCACTTATCTTTTCTTCACCCCCATCACCATGCCTCTTCCAGTTACCCCCATCTCCTGACCTCTGCTAGAGTGCCAGGCCTCTCCCAGAATGCCTATCCATGCAGGACCACCCTGAGTCCCTGCCTACCTGATCTTTGGCCCCCATCACCGGGACTCTGCTGGAGGTGAATTTGGGACCAGTTCAGGTCCAATCCCTCCCATACTTCCCTGGAAACTTCCTGGGTAGCCCTGAATGTAGCTCCCACCTACATCCAGTAGCCATCGAGAACACTCCTAGAAATCTGATCCACAAAACCACCCACCCAGAATCAGCCCTCACCCCAACCTGTGCACTAACTAGACCACTGTCCCACACCTCTCATTGAGCACTGGACCACAGAGCAGGTCCAACAATCCCGCCACCTTCAGGGAACTTCCTGGATCTATTCTGAGCACACTAAACCACATCAAGTCCTCTCCTGCATAATCTTTGAACCCCATCGCATGGCCTCTGCCTGATACCTAAATAGCCAGGCCTCTGCCGGAGACCAGACTATCCATGCTGGACAACTGAGTCCCTGCCTACCTGATCATTGACCCCAATTGCCAGGCCCCTGCCTGACAGGTAAGCTCCTAGAGAGTTTGGACCACCCAGAGATACAGACATCGAACTCCTGACACACTTAAGCCCCCAGGGGGAGTAGCATAAACAGGAGAGAAATCCCACATATACCCACTGGAAGAAGTGAAGGTAAGGTGACAATACAAGAAAACACCTAACAATAGAAAGACAAGAAGATAGTCATCAGAATCTAGGGAATCTACACCAACTACTAGACCTGAAGACATGAAAGCAGATGAAGCAGAAGAGGAGGACTTAGAAAATATCGTCATAAAAATGACAGAGGCACTCAGAAACTGTATGAGAAAATCCCTTAGAGAAATGAAAGGAAAAACATACAAAAAAAATGGACAAAATGAACAAATTTCTTAAAGAAAGTAAGAAGAGTCAAGAAAAAAACAGATGAAGGAAATAATTCCAACAGTTCAAAACCTGAAAACTGAAATAGAGACAATCAAGAAAACACAAACTGAGGGAATGCTGGAAACAGAAAAATTGCACAAATGATAAGCATATGCAAGCATAACCAACAAAAACCAAGAGATATAAGAGAGAATTTTGGGCACTGAAGATAAACAGGAGGAAATGATTCATTGACCAAAGAAAATCTTAACTCCAACAATTCCTTAACAGAAAACACCCAAGAAATGTTGGACACTGTGAAAAGGCCAACCCTATCAATAATATGTATAGAAGAAATTGAAAAAGCCAAGCTCAAAGGGGTAGAAAATCATGTTCAACAAAATCGTTGAAGAAAACTTACCCAAGTTGCAAAGGATATGTCCATGAAAATACAAGAAGCATATCGAACAACAAATAAACTGGACCAAGGAAAAAGAACCCCCGACACATATAATCAAACATATGAATGAAGAAAGAATTTTAAGAGCAGCAAAGAAAAAAGACCAGGTAACATATAAAGGCAGACCAGTCAAAAATACACCGGACTTTTCCATGGAAACTCTCAAGGACCGTAGATCCTGGATATGTGGTTCTAAAAGTGCTAAAAGTGCCACCCCAGGATACTATGCCAGCAAAACTCCCAATCACTATAGAGAGAAAAAAAGAACCAGCCAGATTTTCACAATACATATCTACATATCCAGGCCTACAGAAACATCTGTAAAGAAAACTCCAACACAAGGAAGTTATCTAGGCTCATGAAGTCATAGGAAATAGATGATCCCAATTCATCAGAGCCCAACTTAAAAACAGGGCAAATATATTCAGAATTCCATGGCCAAAAAAATATCTAAAGCAAACAAGTATTAACAATCAATGGTCCTTACTTTCCCTCAACATTAATGGTCTTAAATCACATATAAAATGACACAGGCTAAAAGAATGGATAGCAGGACAGAATCCATCCTTCTGCTGAATACAAGAAACACAGATAATCTTCAAAAGCAAACATTAACCCATAGCAAAGGGTAGTGAAAAGAACTTCCAATCAAATGGACCAAGAAGAAAGCAGGTGTGTCTCTCCTAATATCTAATAAGTTAAATTTTTAACCAAAATCAATCAAAACAGATGAAGAAAGTAATTTCCTATTCATCGTAGAGAAACCCATGAGCACAAAATCTCAATTCTGCACATATATGTCCCAAATACAAAGGCACCCACATTTGTAAGAGAAGCACTACTAAAACTCAAAGTTTACATAAAACCTCACATACAGTGTGAGAATTCAACACCCCAATCTCACCACTAGACATTTCCACCAGACACAAACTTAACAAATAAACACAAGAACTAACAGAAGTTATGTCTCAATTGGGTTTAGCAGTCATCTATAGAACATTCCAACCAAACACAAAAGAATGTACCTTCCTCTCTGCTCCACATGGAACCTTCCCTAAAATCGACCACATACTCGGCAGAATAACAAACCTCAACAGATACAAAAAAATGGAATAGTCCCCTGTATTTTATCAGACCACCATGCTTTCAAACTGGAATTCAACAACACACCTCGCAGAAATCCTACAAATTCACAGAAACTGAACAAGGCACAATTGCACCTGGATCACAAAAGAAATAATGAAAGAACTTCCTAGAATTCAACAAGAATGAGGACACAACATATGCGAACTTATCGGACACCTTGAAAGTGTGCTATGAGGGAAGTTCATTGCCCTAAGTGCCCATATGAAGAAAACTGCGAATAGTCACATTAGAGAATTAACTGCAAAACTGAAAGTCCTAGAACAAAAAGAAGCAAACTCACCCCAGAGGTACAGAAGCAAGGAAATAATTTGAGGGCTGAAATCAATAAAGTAGAATCCTGGAAAACAATACAAAAATCCATTCAATAAAGAGTTCACATTTTGAGGAAATGAACAAGATAGACAAATCTTTATCCAAACTAACACAAAAGCAGAGAGAGAATACACAAAATAACAAAATCAGAAACAAGAAAGGAGACATAACAAACGACACTGGGGAAATCCAGACAATTTTCAGGTCATACTTTGAAGCCCTATGCTCTATAAAATTTAAAAACTCAAAGTAAATGGACAAATTTCTCAATAACTATCACTAACTAAAATTAAATCAAGAACAGATGAGCACCTTAAAAATACCTATAATCCCTACTGAAATAGAGGCAGTCATTGGAAGCCTCCCAACCATAAAAGTCCAGGGCCAGATGGCTTCAGTGCTGAATTCTACCATAAATTCCAGCTAAAGCTAATAACATAACTCGACAAATTTTTTCACAGAATAGAAATAGAATGTTCATTACCAAGCTACTTTTGCAAGGCCACAATTACCTTGGTAACTAAGCCAAGAGAAGACACAAAAAAGAGAACTACAGACCAATATCCCTTATGAATATTGATTCAATAAAGTACTGGAAAATTGAATCCAAGAACATATCAGAGAAATCATCCAACATGACTAAATAGGCTTCATCCCTGGGTTACAGAGACAGGTCAACATATGAAAATCTATCAATGTGATCTACTATATAAACAAACCGAAAAAGAAAAACAATGTAATCATCTCACTGGATGCTGAAAAAGCCTTTGAGAAAATCCAATACCTTTCATGATAGAGGTTTTGGAGAGATCAGGGATAACAGGAACATACCTAAATGAATAAAAGCAATATACAGTAAACCAACAGCCAACATCAAACAGAGTGGAGAGGAGATTAAGGCAATTCTTCTAAAATCAGGAACAAGACAAAGCTGCCCTCTTACTGTCAATATCTCTTCAATAATGTACTTGAAGTTCTAGTTAAAGCAATAAGACAACAAAAGGAGATCAAGAGGATACAAATTGGAAACAAACAAGTCAATCTGTCACTATTTGCAGATAATATGATAGTATTTGCAGATGATATGATAGTTTACATAAGTGACCCAAAATAACTCTACCAGGAAATTCCTACCACTGATAAACACCTTCAGCAAACTAGCAGGTTACAAGATAAACTCAAAAAAATCAGTAGCCCTACTTTATTCAGACGACTACAAAGAGGTAGAGAAAGAAATCAGAGAAACATCACCCTTTACAACATCCACAAGCAACATAAAGTATCTTGGTGTAATGCTTACCAAACAAGTAAAAGACCTATATAATAAGAACTTTGTGGCTCTAAAGAAAGAAATTAAAGAAGATACCAGAAAATGGAAAGACAGCCCACAGACTGGGAAAAGATCTTCACCAATCATACATCTGAGAGAGGGTCGATCTCCAAAATATACAAAGAACTCAAGAAACTAGTCACCAAACATCAAATAACCCTATTAAAAATGGCACACAGAACTGAAGAGAGAAATCTCAATTATGGAAATCAAAAAGTCTTCAAGACTCTTAAGAAAGTACTCAACATCCTTAGGTACCAAGAAAATGCAAATGAAAATAATTTTGAGATACCATCTTACCAGAAATACTAAAATTAGGAACACCATGACAACTTATGCTGGAGAGGATATGGAGAAACAGGATAACTCCTACACTGCTGGCGGGAGTGCAAACAAGTACAGCCATTTTGTAGATCATTATGGTGATTCTAAGGAAAAATAGGAATCAGTCTATCACAGGACCCAGCAAACCCATAATTAGGCATATACCCAAGTGATCCACATCCATGCAAAAAAGATATCTGTTTACTATATTCATAGCAGCATTATTTGTAATTGCAAGAATCTAGAAGCAACCTAGATGCCCCTCAACAGAAGAATAGATAAAGAGTATGTGGCACATTTACCCAATGGATTACTACTCTGCCAGAAAGAAACAATGGAATATTGAACTTTGCAGGCAAGTGGATTGAACTTTAAGAAACCATCCTGAATGAGGTAACCCAGTAACAAAAAGAGGGACATGCTACATATTCACTTATATGGATTTTAGACATAGAGCAAAGGATCACTGGCTTATAATTTACAGTGCCAGTGATGAGACTAGGATACAAGATGTTTCTAAGAGATTCATACATGATCTCTCATGGGGGGGACTAGATCTCCTGAGAATATTCAGAGTGGTGGGTCAGTGAGTGCAGAGGGGACTAGGAGAAAGAGAAGGTCAGGAGAGGAAAGCACATGAGACTAGAAAGATTGAGTCATGGAAGGAATAGATGGGAAAAAGACAGAGAGAGAGAGAGAGAAATACCATAAAAGAGGGAGCCATTATAGGATTCTATAAAAATGATTATAGAGAAATGTACAGAGATGTACAAGTCTCATCCCATTTTACAATTTGAGCAACATTTGCTAGGCTACTATAAATGTCCTTTCCTGATAAGGAGATTGATGACTAACTTATGTACAATCATTTAGCCCTCATCTTGAAGCTGATAGAAATAGAAGAAGATACAAACAGCTAAACACTGTGCCAAACTGGAATCCAGATGCAGATGGAGAGGACAAAACTAGGCTATAGAAACATATAGAGACAACTGACCTAAACAAGGAGGAGCTAATGGGTCCCAGACTGATAGCTAGGAATCCAGCATTTGAACAACTCAGACTCCCTAAACATGGGTCTCAGAAGGCCTGGCCAGTCTAAGAGAACTCAGACTGAGGAACCAGGATGTATCCCTGGTCCATAATAGGATTTTTGGAGCATGTTCCCCAAGGAGGGATACTCCTTGCACCTAGAGGCAAGAGGGAGGGCCTAGTTCCTACTCCAAATGATTTGACAGATTTAGATGACCCATCCAGGAACTCATCACCCTACATGTGGAGTGGGGAGATGTTATTTGAGGGTGGTGGTTGGGCATGGGAGGGTAGAAGAAAGGGAGCAGGAAAGGATGGAGCAGGAACTGGGATTCATATGTCAAATAAGAAAAATAAATAAATATAATAAATAAACAAAAGAGAATTGGCACTTATTGTAGTCAATATAAATCATTTTCACTTTTGGGAATGATTCAAAAAGGGAATGAGTTTTATGCCAGCCACATGCATAAATGTAAAGCTGGAGTTTCATTGGTACTTGTCAATTAATGTTGCTGTTTAAATGCAATATCAGTGCCTAAAATCATTTGATGATGAAAATATCCAATCATAAGTGGCTAGTAGACTACCTTAGAGCAAAGTCAATGGAAATGGATGGTCCTTAGGTCCATAATACTAGAAACTACAAATGTCTAAAACAGTTTCACAGAATGCCATTACAGGTCATTTTTTAATAGCTAAATACAATCTGTACATATCGCACAACTATTAAGTATAAGACAATTCACAAACACAATTGCAGCAGTTATTATTTGTATCTCTGCATTTGTTGGTAGTGTGCAGCACCATGCCCAGCTTAGTTATAATAAATACCAAGAACCTGCAATACTCTCAAATAATCATTAACAAAAGCCAAACATATGTTATTCTACCTGCTTCCCAGCCAATCTGTTGACTCTACAGATCAGATACAGAATATAGAATACATTAGATAGATCAATTCAAAATGTAAGCTTACCATTTATAAGTAGCAAACACTAACACTCTTCAAATTAAAGGGACTCTACTGTCAATAACTTTGCAATATAGATGAGAATTGACTTTAGCCAATGAATGCACTTAACATCCACCGTAAATATAGCTTAAATATATTTTACTACTATCAAATTTTTTTTTAGCTAGGCAATGGTGGTGCACAACTTTAATCCCAGTACAAAGGAGGTAGAGGCAGGTGCATCACTAAGGCCACCAGAATTGCCATCAATACACAAAGAAACCTTGCCTCAAACCCTTGCTCCAAAAAGGATGTTTCTCTGTGTGTAATTATTTTCCAATTGTAATCATAAAATCAATTTTAAACGAAAAGGAATTCAGTACAATACCCTGAGCTAGTAAAATGTTACATTTCACTTAACTATTTTAAAATTTTACTTAGTTTTATGTGCATAAGTGTTTCTCCTGACTCTGATATACCTGGACTTATAAGGTGCTCACTGTATGACACATAAATATGAAGATGTGCACATGTTATGTATGTGTCCATGCACACACGAGTCTGAGTGGAGGTGTTTTAAGAGGACAGAAGAGGGTCTAATTTCACTTGGACGTAGAATGACAGGCAAATGTGAGCCATCTGACTTGCTCAGAACCAAACACAGCTCAGGTCTTCTGGAAGAGCAGCAAGTGCTGAGCTGAAATACTGAGCTCTCTCTCTAACCCCAAAAACTCCTTCTCAAGACTTTGTGATTTTAAAACTAATTATATTCAGAGGGGAACGTACAAGTAAAGCACAAAATAAAAGATTAGTTCTCAGTGCTTCCTATGGTCTGGCCTGTAATATGATTTCAATACTGGTAACATTAATAAAATTCATAGAAAGTGATTATTTTTAAATACCGTCTATACCTTTACCTAATATAAAATGAATAGTATATGTTACAGGACATAAAAACTTACCCAATAGTCATGTGCCCTTTGTTCATGAGCAATAACCTAAAACACAGTTATTAAAATTATTCGTAAATAAAAAACATTCATTGCCACCACTAAAATTCATGTCCCAAACCATAATTCCCACTGCCTAGGCATCTCTGAAGCACTATAACCATTTTGAAAGCATAATTTCACATATACAGATGATTTTCTCTCCTGAAATTTTTAACAAACCTGAACATAAGTGTTTTTAATGCCAAAAAACTGCAGAAGATGATCAACTACTAGAGTTTCCAAGGAACAGATAACAAGCCCAACATGGGACTGCGATGGTGCCAGACATTGCTTTGCTGTATAATACTCATTCCAAAAGAAAGGGAAGTTGCAGAAGTTTTTTTATTTCAGTATCGTTGGCTCTCTGGGTATATTTCAGTTTCTCAAAACACATCAGGAGTGATGAAAGCTACAGTCCTGCATCAGTTCTATCCAGTCAGAGTGCTCTAACTGCATATACAGCTGTCACTTGACACAAATACCTGCCCTTGATAGGAGCAAATTGTTCTCTCCAATTCTTCTTCGATATCCTTGGCACGCCGTCTACATGGAACAAATAGTTACTCCACTGTGCTGAAAGAATAACAGCACGTGGCTACAAGAATATTACTGAGTGTTCTTCCTTATTTAATTATAACCTAAAGACTCCTCTTTTGAGAGATGCTGACAGGTATTAAAGACCATCTTCTCCTCCCCTAGGTCTAATGTCAATTAAACTATGTGAATACTACTACTTGGATGTGCCTAACACAATGTCACAAAAATTTACACAGTACAGAAAGTCTTAAGGAGCCTGTTCAGGGGCTCAATTGCAATCTTACCACGCCCCCATCCTAACTGCAAAAGTCTCAGGCACATGCAAGCATGCCTCATCATCTGGATTTCATTTTCAGGATTCAAAATCATGAAAGATTAACTCAGATCCTGTAAAATTAACAGATTCCCAGAAAAGGAAATCTTTTTTGTTTGTTTTGTTTTGTTTGTTTTTTTACTTCAAGACAGGGATTCTCTGTAGCCCTAACAGTCCTAGAACTGGCTCTGTAGACCAGGCTGGACTTGAGCTGACAGAGATCCACCTGCCTCTGATACCAATGCCCAGCTCAGGAGAGGAACTCATAAGAGGTAAAAGTATAACTAACTTACTGTCTTTATGAAACAAAAAAGTAATTTGTCCTTTTAGACAAAGCCCAAACTTACTCTTCCTAAGGTTGACAGAAGTGTCCTATGACTCAAGTTGCTGTGGTGAGCCTCTAACAGACATTCTAGTGTTTCCTCAGGTCCACTGAGGACTGAACCAAAGACTAGCTAAGCATTTACTAAAATTGTAAGAGTGGCTTGTTCATTTCATGGCAAACTTGCTGGATGCTAGTACTGTGTATATTCTTCCCCAGCTGAAAAAATCTTCATGAATGAGCTTGAATTAACTGCTCATCATGTCCTTCTTGAAGACAGGGTCTCATGGAGTCCAAGCTAGTTTCAAACTCACTATTTAGCCAATATTGGTCTTGATCTTGTGACCATTCTTTTCCACCTCTCAGTGCCAACACACACAACATCCATACCTATTTATAAACTTCTTGATGTTAACATAAAATATGCTTATACTTATATATCAAAATCCCCAAAAAGAAAATTTTCCTTTTTATATTTTCTGAATATCAACAAAATTCCATGAAGTTCAAATACAAAGTAATGAAACAAAAATATGCCAATTCACTGAGTAGTGGTGTTAGGGCACACAAGCCTTTAGTCCTAGCACTTGGTAGGCTGAGGCAGGCAGATCTTTGAGTTCAAGTCAAGTCTGCCTCCAGAAAGAGATCCGGATGGGTCAGGTATACAGAGACCTTGTCTGAGATCAAACAAAACAATAAAGCCATTTTATTTTACTGCTTCCTAATGCCAAGCATCAAAATAAGAAAGAGGATGTCTTACCTATAGGTCTCTAGTTCCTTGTTCACATGGCTGGTTCTCTTGTTCACTTTGAAAAGTTCTTCCTCTTTCTCCAATCTACATTTTTCCTCCACTGTTATTTTCCTTAAAAAAAAAGTTTTTTTTATTCCTTCCTTTTAATGTATGTAATCAATATAATCAACTACAATCACAAATGGTGTATCACAGAAAGCAATTGTCATACACCACAGCAAAGGCCATGTGCAAAAAAAGAAAAAATAAAAAAAAAATTTGTGAGTCTCTGATATGAAATTTGGCACTGGGCCAAAGAGTGGTTCCAACAAACCCTCCACTTCTGTGGAACTTCCTGGCTCTGCTCTGAACCCACTGGAACCACCTATCCACTCAGGAACACCTTGATGCTAAACTGTCCTAATCTTTGAACCCCACCAACTGCCCTCTGCCAGGGGAGCAATCTCCAAGAGAACTTGGATTATTCAGGGTTGCAGAAATCGAACTCCTGACCCACCTACATTCACCAGGACAGCAGGGTAAAGAGAGACAGAAACCCCAGCTTCGCACACTGGAATAAGCGATGGGAAGACAGCAATAGAAGAAAACACCCAACAATAGAAAGAACACTATGATACAACCAGAATCTAGGGACTCCACACCAAAAAGAACTAAACATATCAAAACAGATGAAGAAGAGAATGACATAAAAAAAATTCTTAAAAATAACACAGGCCCTCAAAGATGCTATGAGAAAAAAAAATCCCTTAAAGCAATGGAAGAACTCCAGAGTAATGTGGTTTGATCAAGCCAGACCGCCTCAAACAGAGTAGGAGGTGATCCTACATTCAAAACAGCTGGACAAAGCAGCCTTACAGACTACAGCCAGGATTTCTGAATCTTCTTCGAATCCCCCATGACAGCGCCCCATACCAGCAGGAAGTAGTTTGGAAAGAACAACGCCCAAATTCCCAAATATTGTCTATAAATGTTTGTTTTCATTTAAATGGACTTTGTTATATAAAATAAATTAAAAAAAGAGTAACCCACTCATAAAAAGAGGAAATGGTATATACTCACTTATCTATGGATTTGAGACATAGAGCAAAGGATTGCCAGCATATAATTCTCACCGTGAGAGAAACTAGTATACAAGGAGGAACCAAAGAATAATACAAGGTCCCTCACAGAAGGGGAAAGGACAGGATCTCCTGAGCATATTGTGAGTGGGTGGGGTCAGTGAGTGGAGTGTCAGGAGAAAGAGAAGGGGAGGAGCAGAGCACATGAGGGACCAGGAAGATTAAATTGGGAGACTAATACATGAGAGAGAAAAAGAAAGATAATATAATAGAGGGAGCCATTACAAGTTTGAAGAGAAAATGGACTCTTGAGAAGTGTTCAGAGACCTACAAGGATAACTAACCCCAATTATCAATCTGAGCAATCGTAGAAAGGCTACCTTAAATTCCCTTCCCTGATAATGAGATAGATAACTAATTTATATGCCATCATTAAGTCCCCATCTAGTAGCTGATGGAAATAGAAGCAGAAACTCACAGCTAAACACTGATCTGAACTCTTGGAATCCAGTTGCAAAGAGGGATGAGTGATAAGAAAATTGGTCAAGACCAGGCTACTGAAACCAACAGATACAGCTAACCCGAACAAGGGTGAGCTCATGGCCCCCTGACTGATAGCTGGGAAAACAGCATTGTACTGAATCATATCCCTGAACTTGGACCTCAGTTAGAAGGCCTGGGCAGTCTAAGGGACCTCTGACTGTTATACCAGGATGTGTCCGTGGTGCATAAAAGGACTTTGGGGGCACATTCCCTGTGGAGGAATACTCCTTTAGCCTAGAAGCAGGAGGGAAGTTCTAGATACTACTCCAAATGATTTGACATATTTTGATGTCCCCTCTTGGATGGCATCACCCTCCCTTTAGAGTTGGGGGGGGGATGGGAAGTGAAGGTGTGAGCGGGCCATTAGGGAAGGAGGGAGTGGGAACTAGGATCAAGTTTTATTATAGTAAGTCATTATGTTTGTTAGTAAGAGGGCCAATAACTATAAATATGGCTTGTGTTTTTTGATTGGTTTTTATGACAGTGTCTCATAACGTAGACCTGAAAATCACATTGTAAACCAGATTGGCCTCTAATTCACATAGATCCACCTGTGTTTGCTTCTTGATTGCTTGAAGTAAAGGTGTGTAGACTCAATATTTTTAATTGGTAGTCAAAAATAATAAGAGAGTGAGCCCAATCCCCACAGAGGGATAGTCTCTTAGCCTAGACACAAAGGGGAGGACCTAGGCCTTGTCCCAAATGATGTGACAGACTTTGATGATCCACCATTGAAGGCCTCACCCTTTCTATGTAGCAAAAGAAGGATGTGATGGGGTCTTGGGAAGATGGGAGGGAGAGGGAACTGGGATTGATATCTAAAATAATATTGTTTCTAATTTAAACTTTTAAAAAGGAAAAAAGTAACAAGAGAATAAATAATCACAGCACCAGCACTAATCCTGCACTCCTTTTATCTTTTACTAACGAGTAACAGGTAACTCATTGAACAGTTACTGTGTGCCAGAACTATTACTAGACTTTTCTGTGGGGAATTAAACTAGTCAACAGCCATACAAAACTATTATTTACATTGCATAAAAATGAAAACAAGGTACAGAAAAAGCAATCATATACCATGTAAAAATAAGTCTCTGAGAAATGAAGCAACAAGGCATTTCATCACTGTGTGGACATCAGAGTATACTTAAAGAAACAAATATGGCCAAGAATCAATGGGTGGCATTGTCCTATTTGTGGTTCATTTTGTACCAACATGTTATTATATGACACATGATTGTCACCGGAAGCAGGCTTTGGGAGCATATGGCCTCTTCCTGCTTCTAGTTTTATCTTTCTTCTTCAACTTTAAGGGGGTTATGATCTCTCCTCTTCCTGCTCTAAGAACATGCTCCCATCCTCCCCTCACTATCATTGGCTCTCACTTTGGAACTGTGCACCAAAACAAGTTCTCCCATCTACTAGTTGCCTTGACCTGAATAGTTTGGTATTTAGGGGTTTTTGTTTGTTTGTTTGTTTTCTTTCTACCATTGTATTTTATCACAGCAACAGAAAAGTAACTAATACAGCCTAAATGTTGAAATTTAAACTCTACTGATAGAACATCAAAGAGAAATCACATATATAAAGCAGTATACTAAACTCCTAGATTCAAATATTTCACTTCTTTCTAATATTAAACTTAAAGAGCTGAAGATAATGTATCAGTCATGAAAAAAAAAAAAAAACAAGAAAATAACATGAATGAAAGAAGGCAATCTAGAAAATAAGTTAACCAAAATTATAGCCTATAGAGGCAAGAACTTATTCTGATATTTATACAGTTTTACAAAATTTCAATGTCCTACCCTGAAGAACAGCTTGTGGCATAATTCAGCTTGAGCTGTGAGTTGACTCAGAGCAGAATATATAATATAATACTATTAATAACAGACATATTCACTGGGCTTAATTGTCAACTTCTCACAAACTACAGAAACTTGGCAAAAGAGAATCTCAACTGAGAAAATAACTTCCCAGGACATGCTTGAGGCAAGCTTATGGGCTCGTTCTCCATGTCTAATTGATGTAGGAGAGACTCCAACCAATGCAAGTGGTTCCAACCCTGGGTTATATAAGGAAGCTGATCAATGCATGGAAAGCAAGGCAGTAAACAGTCCTCCTCTATGGCCTCAATTTCAGTTGTGCCTAGATATTTCATTATGACCAGTGTGATCAGGACAGCAACAGAAAGTAAAGTAATACATGATATCACAGTGTGAACACATACAAACAGAACACAATGCATATTTTCACCACTGCTTTGAAAATGGACAGAAAATGTGTTGCACCTTTGAATTTTTAAGCATTACACATTAACTTCATTAACTCATTAACCATTAACTGGCAAATTAGCAAATAATGGGGTCACTGGTTCCTGGGGTAAAACAGGAATACTTCTCTGTTGATCTCTTTTCATGAAACATATCATGTAAAGAATACACAACTTTGAATCCTGTGTAAGTATTTTATTTAAAACTCACCATGGGACTGGAGAGATGGCTCACACCTAAGAGTGCACAAACTGCTCTGGCAGAGGACACAAGTTCAGTAATCAGTACCCACATGGCAGCTCACAAGCATTTGTAACTCTGTTTCAAGGGATCCAACGCCTTCTTTGGGCCTTAGAGAGCACCAGGCACAGGCATTGTGCACAGATATACATACAGGAACTCTCACATACACATAAAATGAAAATAATACTCCATGGGCAGGATCAATAGTTCAGCCATTAAGAAGAGTACATCCTGCTCTTGCAGAGGACATGAGCTCAATTCCCAAGACCTATATCCAGTGACTCATAACAGCATGTTATCTACAATTCCAGGGAGAACCAACATTTCTGACTTCTACATGCACCAACACTTATGCTTACAGGTGCACACACATTATACATAATTTAAAAGAGCAAATCACTGTTTTGTTTCTTTGTTTTGCTTTGTTTGATAAGATGAGGTTTTTCTATGTAGCTTTGTAGACCAGGCTGGCCTCGAACTCACAGAGATTTAGCAGCCTCTGCCTCCTGAGTGCTGGGATTAAATGTGTGCACCATCCATGCCCAGCATAATAAATCATTTTTTTAAAACTAAATAAAATCTACAATGGTGGAAAACACCTGTTCCAAGCACTTGGGAAGTGACTGCAGAAAGATCAGGAATTATGAGACACAGCTGACTGTAATCAGGGTCAAGCCAGCATGGACTATATGAAAGAGTCTCGAACAAAATAATACACATCTTAGTTCATCATAGTTAACATAAGTTGTAGATTTCCTAAAGTAAATTCCCAACCAACAGCACTGTAAGTTAAGACAAAACAAAGTTAATCTTATACATAGCATTTTCTCCACAAAGTATATTATGGCCTTCTTACCATCAAGAACACGTGACAGCACTCAAGCACATGCTTGGTTTCTATGTGAACAGGTACCTCACCAAATAAACATCACCAAATAAACAATTCTAAAAAGATGAGGTAGTCAGAAAAGACAATTGTTTACAGAATGAGAACTGAAAGAAGTTGCTGTGTTTGCCCTCAACCAGGAGTTCTCACACTGGGCCTCAGAATCTTCATCATTCTCAGTTTACCCATGAAAGGCCAGCAAATCTCTGGGGGAAAACACAGGCTTTAAGGTTACAAACAAATTTAACAATGGACTTTATATCACACACACACACATACATAAATACATGCATACTTAAGGTATGAAGGAATAGGACATACAAGGGACTTCCAAAGGGCAATAAAAGTCAAAGTGTGCTTGGTTTTATAATGAAAACTTTAAACTATAATTCTTATTAGGAAATAAGCCATTGCAAGATTGGTATCTCAAGGGTCTTTTCTCTGCCTCTGGGCATGTCAGGGCAATGTCTCATATTGCCATCAATATTTAAATACACTGAGCACAATTTTATTTATTTCTTTTCATTTTACATATTAATCCCTGTTTTCCCTCCTTCCCTGTTTCCCTCCCTTCATACTCTCATGCCCCCCCACCACACTCCTCTCCCACCCCCTACTCCACATGTAGGGTGATGTATTCCAGGAGGGGTCATCTGAATCTGTCACATCATTGGGAGTAGGGACTAGGTCTTCTCTCCTGTCTCTAGGTTAAGGGAGTATCCCTCCATGGGGGATGTGCACCAAAAGTCCTTTTGTGCAACAGGTACATATCCTGTTTCCACTGTCAGAGGTCCCTTAGACTTCCCAGGCCTTCTGGCAGAGACCCATGTTTAGGGAGTCTGAGTCAGTGCAATGCTGGAATCCCAGCTCTCAGTCTGGGGGCCCAGTAGCTCCTCCTTTTTCAGGTCAGCTGTCTCAATGTGTATTTGTAGCCGGTCTTGTCCTCTCTCTCTGCATCTGCATTCCTGTTTTGCTCAGTGGTTACTTGTGGGTGTCTGCTTCTGTTTCCATCTGCTGCTAGATGAGAGCTCTATGATGGTGGATAATACAGTCCTCAATCTTATCATCAGGGAAGGGCATTTATGGTAGCCCTTCCACTGTTGCTCAAATTGTTACTTGCAGTGAGTCTTGAAGGTCTCTGGACATTTCTGTAGGTTCATTTTTCTCTTCAAACATATAATTGCTCCCTCTATTATGTTCCCCCCTCTCTCTCTGTCTCTTCTATTCCTCCCCTGACTCAATCTTCCTAGGCCCACATGCTTTCCTCTCCTCCCTTTCTCTTCCTCCTAGCTCCCTCTCCACTCACTGCCCCACTAATCCCCATATGCTCAGGAGATCTTGTCCCTTTCCCCTTCTGTGAGGGGACTTATATGAATCTCTTAGAATCCTCCTTGCATCTTAATTTCTTTGGCAGCGTTAATTATAGGCTGGTGATTCTTTGCTCTGTCTAAAATACATATATGATTGAGTACATACAATTTTATTCTTTTTGTGACTGGGTTACCTCATTCAGGATGGTTTCTTCAAGGTCCATTCACTTGACTGCAAATTTCACGATTCTATTATTTTCTTTTCTGGCAGAGTAGTATTCCATTGTGTAAATGTGCCACATCTTCTTTATCCATATTCTTCAGTTGAAGGGCTTCTTGGTTGCTTCCAATTTCTTGCTATTACAAACCATGCTGCCATGAACATAGTAGAACAGAAGTCTTTGTTGCATGGATGTGGATCATTTGGGTATATGCCTAAGATGGCGATTGCCGGGGCCTGTGGTAGACTGATTCCCATTTTCCTGAGGAACCGCCTTAATGATCTCCAAAATAACTGTACAACTTTGCACTCTCAACAACAGTGGAGGAGTGCTCCCCTTTCTCCACATCCTGTCCAGCATAAGTTGTTCTTGGTGTTTCTAACTTTAGCCAATCTGGCAGCAGTAAGATGATATCTCGTAGTTCCTTTGATTTGCATTTTCCTGGTAGCTAAGGATTGTGAGTACTTTCTTTAGTGCCCTTCAGCCTTTTGAATTTCCTCTATTGAGAATTCTCTATTAAGTTCTGGACCCCATTTTTAATAGGGTTATTTTGTGTTTTGTTGACTAGTTTCTTGTGTTCTTTGTATATTTTGGAGATCAGCCCTCTGTCAGATGTAGGATTGGTGAAGATATTTTCCCAGTCTGTGGGCTGCCATTTGGTCTTGTCAACTGTGTCCTTTGCCTTATAGAAGCTTCTCAGTTTGGGGAGGTCCCATTTATTAATTGTACATCTCAGTGTCTGTGCTACTAGAATTATGTTCAGGAAGCAGTCTTCTGTACCAGTTTGTTCAAAGGTACTTCCCACTTTCTCTTCTATGAGGTTCTATGAGTTTCAGTGTGGATGGATTTATGTTGAGGTCTTTGATCCATTTGGACTTGAGTTTTGTGAATGGCGATAGATATGGGTCTATCTACAGTCTTCTACATACCCTTATCCAATTGTCCCAGCACCAGTTGTTGAAGATGCTGTCCTTGCCCCATTGTATAATTTTAGCTGTTTTGCCCTAAATCAGGTGTTTGTAGCTGTGTAGGTTAATGACAGAATATTTGATTTAATTTCATTGGTGACCTTGTCTATATTTGTGCCAATACCAGACTGTTTTCAGGATTATAGGTCTGTTGTAGAGCTTAAAGTTGAGGATGGTGATGTCTCCTCGAGTTTCCTTATTGTACAGGATTGTTTTTGCTATCCTGGTTTTTTTTTTCTTTTTTTTCTGTATAAAGTTGATTATTATCCTTTCAAGGTCATTGAAGAATTGGATTGGAAACCCACTATTTTCCTTTCAGTTTAGGCACTGGGAATATAAATAAAAGTACCATACTTCTTACAGGGTTTAAATTATTGAGAAGTGGAACACATGATGTTTAGAGAACAAAACAAGATGTGATGAGAAATAGCGGTTCAGTTAGGGTACCAAGAAAGTCTTCTTTAAGATGACAGTGGGACCCACATCTGAATGAAACAAAGATTCGAAAATGCAAGCACATAGAACACCACATAGTGAAAAAAATAAAAAGAAGAAAAGAAAAAGCTTGAAAGATGAAAGACCTTACCATACAGATATGCTGGGCACACCAAAAATGAAGAAAGCCAATGGTAATAGATAGCAACAAAGAAAAGAGACATAGTATAGTCTATAGCTTCTCACAAGGTGGGTATGGTAAACTTGGCTCTGAGAATCTTGTTTTAAGTCTGTTTAAAAGCCTTTGGGGGGAGGGTTCAGGAAAGACTGTGACAGTACACACAATTTATGTTTTAGGAGTTATTCTGAGTTTACAGAGAAAAGACAGTGTAGGAAGTTGAGGTATAAAGATATTCATAGGGCTACTGTAATGAACCAACTACTGCTAATGATGGCTTTAACCAGAGTATTAGTAGATGATAAAAAGCCATCAGATTAAAGGTTAAGAAATTTGACAGAATTTGATGATAAGACAAACAAATATGGGACACAAAAGGGGCACTGAAGGATGACTAGCAGCTGCCCGTTCACAAAGACAATGATACTGCCATTTAGTAACTACAACAAGGAATACTAACCAAGACTAACATGTGCAGAAGAAAGCAGTCAGTTTTATATACACCAGGAAGTTCCATCCAAAGACACTACTTAGATTCCCGGACCCTGTGTATCAGCATGAGTTTAAGGCAATAATCTGATAAATGTTACTAGATACTGAGAAAGGTAGCTTGGGAATTCCAACATATTTACATTTTGTTCTTGAAGAAAAACGTTCAAGACAAAATAACATTCTGAAATGTGAATGATGTAGCCAGGTAATGTAGGGCACTCCTTTAAAACTAGCAGTCAGGAAGCAAAGGCAGGTGGATGTCTCTTAGTTCAAGGCCAGCCTGGTCTACAGAGTGAGTTCCAGGATAGGCTGCAAAGCTACACAGACAAATCCTGTCTTGAAAACACAAACACCAAATTAAAAAAAAAAAAACAACATGAATGATTGTATGTAATTGATAACATCCAATAATCAATGTGTAAAGCCTCTAATACATAACATGCATTTAAAGACATTTCACTTGCCATTCACTGGAGTTACCAAACACCTCTCATCTGTGAAGCATCCTTTCATTGTCTTGGTACAGCTCCCTCATCACTGTGATTTTCCTTTGAAGCTTCTGTTTCTCGATTTCAAGTAGTGTATTACCTGACTGCAGAGACACTTGTTCAGACTTGAGACTTTGCATATGCTCTAGACAAGCGTACAAAATCATAAAGAAACAAAATTAAAGGAATTTCATAAAATTAAAAACATATTGAAGATACACAAAATTGGCCAGATCACTGTGACTTCAAAACCCACCTACTTTATAAAGATACACAGAGAAGACCGTCCTGAAAACAAAAATCCTTAGTCACATGCCTAGGGATTTTTAAATGTATATGGAACCACTCAGACAATATACAATTAAAAATATGTCTTAAATTTTTAGTGGCTAGAGAGGTTAAGGGGAGTGTTTGTTTTTCCAAAGGTCCCGAGTTCAGATCTCAGCAACTACATGGTGGCTCACACAATCTGTAATGGTGTCTGGTGCCCTCATCTGGCTTGCAGGTGTGCATCCAGTCAGAACACTGTATACATAATAAATAAATAAATCTTAAAGAAAAAAAGATAATGGACAAGATTGGACATGCCCAGGGACATACAGCTATAGACAATTACTATAGACAACAACAGTTCAGTTACTAGTACCATAATAAATCAGCCTTTTTTCAGTCAAAATTGTTCATGTGCTGTCATTCAAATTAGCTGATAATAAGTGCTCATTTCCACTTTCCTGAGAGACCAAGTCTCAAACAAAATGAAGACTGGAAAGAATAATGACTTTTCCATTATTTCAACTGCTATACTACTGAATCACCCACAAAATTGGGGAGATAGCTCAGTCAGTTAGGTACTGGCTAAACAAACATGAGGACCAAAGTTTGGGTCATGAGCACCCATGTAAGACCTGTCTGAGTGCTGGAAAGGGAAAAAACAAGATCCCTAGGGCTCACTGAGCAGCACAATCCAGGTTTAATGAGAGCTTTCTCAATGAATAAGGGGGGAAAGCTATTGAAGGAAAGCCTGAAGGACTTTTGTCCTCTATATACATATGAATACAGACACACACAAAATGGATTATCAATTATAAGTGATTGTGAATTCTGTATGAACTAGCATACCATTATTTTTACATATCTCACTTTTCTTTCATTATGATTACTACAACTCTACACAGCTCTAATATTGAAATGAGATCCTCAACTCTGACCTGCTCTAAGGTATCATTCCCAAAACATATGTGAACCAATCGAATACAAGAAAAAAAATGCACTATACTTCAAAATGGCAGTTTCAAAATCATAACAAGGAAAAGTTTAGTAACTATATGCAATGGGATGTTATTATTCTAAAATGCAAGCTAAATAAACATATGGACCAAAAGGTTTGTGTCAATACAGTAATAGCAAAGGGAACATATACAGGAAATCATGCATAGGTGACTTCTGCAAAAATTGTAAAGCTATATCAGAAAAAAAAAATGCCCATCCATGCTTTCTGCCAAATCTAACAAGTCACTTATCAAGAAATCAATGATCAATATAAGCTGTAATATAATTGAATCATACTAATGCAAAGAAGTCTTACAAAACAACACAAATTATTTTACCATTATATACTCAAGCTCTTTTTTCTAGTGTCTTACTTTATCTCATTTTAAAGCTTTTAAAACTAAGTGTTTGGGAGACATGGAAGGCAGGGGCTCAGAGGGAAGGGGACTTGGAAAAAGTATAGCTCAATTAAAAAAAAAAAGTGTGTGTGTGTGTGTGTGTGTGTGTGTATGTATGTGTGTGTGTGTGTTCACCTGAGCCTGCATGCCCAGGTGGGTAAAGGTCAGAGGACGACTAGCAGGGGTCTGTTCTCTCCTTCCACTGGAGACTGAATTCAGACCATCAGGCTCAGAAGAAGGGGCTTTTATGCACTGAACCCACACACTATAATAGGGCACTGTACAGGCCAGGTGCAGTAATTTTAAGCCTATATAAAGCAGACATGTGAGAAGCTGAGGTAGAAATGTGAAGACTTCAAGAAGCCTGGGGTTACATAGAAACATGCATTTAAAGGAAGAAAACTATAAATTATTACCAAAAAGGCCAGATACTATGGGAGATGAGAGATGGTTAGAGAAAAATGCTCCCATATGGTAAAAATTAATTATTGAAAAATTTTATGACGCATTAAGGAAAGAATGTTGGTGCTGGAGACATGGCTCAGCAGTTACGAGCAATGAATGCTCTTCCAGAGAACCTTGGCTCAATTCCAATCACCAACAGGGCAGCTCAAAACTGTCTGTAACTCCAGTTCCAGGGGATCTGACACTCTCACAAAGACATATATGTGAGCAAAATCCCAATAAAGTAAATAAATAAAAAACATTAAATAATTTTTAAAAACACCATGGAAAAAAGAAAAGGTGGATTTGGAGAAATGCTCTACACACAAGAGTTTCCAGTATTACTTGGGGTGGGGGGAGGGGATTAAGACTGGCCAAGAGAAGGAGTAAACAATGGAATAACTGGTGAACTAATTGCTTGCTACACTGGTACTTCCTAAGATACATGTACGTTAATGTATGCCTCGATAAAGCTGCCTTGAGAACAGAGTGCCTATTCCTCTCTGTATCTTCCACACTGTTAATACCATTCATCTCAGATAGCAGCATTTTTTTTTTAATTAGACTAGTGTTTCTTCAGGTCTAATAACAATACAATTACTATAATCAATGAGTAGAGCAATTTAATCCAATGGTTCAATCTTTTTTAAGCATTTTGCTCATTAAAAGTATTAAAGGCCTTTGAGACCCTTTTGGTCTTTTTCTCATCAGATCTCAACCCTGGTCTTGAATGTTATAAAGAAGATAAAGTACACTGAAGCTGGACTCCCAATGATGAAGTCTGGTATAGAGCATAGGTCCAGATTCAAATGGTTCTGGCTATCGTTTGGAACACAGAATAAGTTAAGAATGAAAAGGAAGAAATGTGAAGTTCTGGGCAGCCGTGGCAATGGTTGACTACATATTGACGTTTCTTGTACTCATTGAGAGGATTATTTTGTTGTTGTTGATTTCTGGTATGTTTATATTCAGCTGTGTAATCAGTGAAGGGGCCTTGCCTGTGATCATAGGTGTAGAGTTAGAATCAGGCAGGTGGAAATGAAGCTCCACAAGCAGAAGCTTTTGCCTTATGTTGCATCATTTATTAAAGTGTAACAGGATCAATAAAGCCTGTTTTGAAAAGAAAATATAGATGAGGAGAAATAAAAAAAAAATGATGCCTGTGGTTCCATTCTGAGTTAACCAGCACAGACACTTGAATATGTCCATCCATTCTCTTCTGATATAAACATATGAATTTATTTCATTAACAAAGTGAGATGTGATATATCTTTTACAGCACAAACACAACTGGAAAAAACTATTTTTCAATGTGAACAAAATCAGCAAACTTTTTTAATGCTTTCCCTAAAAAATATATATTTTATAGGTCTAAAGCCACTCCTGTGTATGCTAATAAATTATATGAATTTATTAAAGTAGTAGACATTACAAGAGCAAGTCCTGAAGATCACTTTCTCAATTTTAAAAAATGTAAGGAAAAATTTAAATTTAAAACTTTTTAACATCTAAAAATATATCCAACATTGTACTCCTTGTGGTGGCTTGAGTGAAAAATGTCACCCTAGGCTCAGAGGATGTGACACTATTAGGAAGTATTGCTTTGTTGGAGGAAGTTGTCACTGAGGGTGAGCTTTGAGGTTTCAGAAGCTCAAGACTGACCCAGTGGCACTCCTCCTTCCTGCTGCCTGCAGATCTAGATATAGAACTCCTGGCTCTTTCCCCCAGCACCATGTCTGCCTGTGTGATCTTCTGCAGTGCAATTACTATGGAATACTACTTTATGGAATACTTATCATTTGCAGGCCCTAGAACTCTGAACTGTAAGCCAGATCCAATGAATGTCTTTCCTTATAAGAGTTGCCAGGGTCAAAGTGTCTCTACATAGCAATAGAAACCCTAACAAAGATGCACCATACTCCACATTCTTACATGCTTTTAATAATTTGCATAAATATAAGAGAAAATGGAGTAAGTTTACCACTGACAGTAAAACTCAGAAGTAATTCATTCTATTTAAGGAGACATGCTCGTCAAGAACCCTTACCTGTAAGATCATCATTTGTTGCATCTATTTCAGATAACTGAGTATAAATTTGGTTTCTGTCTCCTTCTAGGGATTTTAACGAAGCACTTAACTTTAAAGAAGGAAAAGAAAAAGAAAAGCAATTATCAATTACACACACACACACAAAAAAAAAAAAAAAAAAAAACACATCTCCAATATACCCCATACTACTGTTCTGCAGTTATTTTCCCTGTGATGATGTTATCATGGACAACATAAAGACATCAGTGCAGCTGCTAAAGCAGCCTTCAAACTATACAATCAGGACTTTTTACACAGATTAACTAAGAACAGACAGAGGGAATAAACCAGAAGAAAACACAGCTATTATTTATTTCTCAAAAGAGTATGTGGAACCATTGGAACCAGAAGGAAAGAATGAACAAGGTGAATGATGAAACAAAATAATAATATTTCTGAAGATATCTTTAATGGAAGGAATGAGTGTACAATTTGAACATTTCTAAATACTCTAATTATAAGAATTTCTAAAGTTGATATAAAAAAAGAAATTGATAAGGAAATCCTAGGGGCTGGAGAGATAGTGCAGTGGCTGCTCTTCCAGTGGACCCGGATTTAAGTCTCTACACCCACATGGCAGCTCACGACTGTCTGTAGCTCCAGTTCCAGGGAATCTCAAACCCTCATAAAGACAAGCATGCTGGCAAACCACCAATACACAGAAAATTAATACAGCAAAAGAAAAAGAAAATTCTAATCATTTATCACATAACCTTATACAAAAAAATAAAAGCAATCTTTAAATTAGTTACATAAGGACACACAGATTTCATCTCTGCTGTAGGTCCAGCTCCTTCTCATCTAGATTTTTACTTACTAATACAAACCTCAGTAGCATATATTAGCTTCCTCAAAGCTCCCTTAGGCTGATTACCTACAGTGAAAAATAAAACCATACTTAGTGAACACATCCAAATTAATGCATTAGTTCTTCATCTAGTCTTGCAACCCCTCTTCCGGCCAAAATTAAACAATTTGAGGCTGAGCTTACTTGCTCTTGACTCCAATTCCAACATTTCACAGCTAAGACAAGAGGATTCCCATGAGTATAAGGCCAGCCTGGACTCCAAGGTGAATTCCAGGCCAGCTTGAGCTACAGCAAGATGCTGTCTCAGTAAAAAGAGTAATTAAAATAAAAACAATAATTTACATGAGGTAGAGTGACCTACACTCAGGAAAATAGACAGTGCACTACAGAGACCCAACAAGAACTGAATATTTACATAAACAGTGTCCATGGACTTAACTATGCTTAGATTCTTATGGCAATACAGCATCCAGGTTAATTAGTCAATCGTGGCTTCAACACTAAAATTATTAATGAACCATGGCTCCAAGTTAAGTACTATTAAACATGAATAGAATTTATGTTTCTTCTATTATAAAATAAAAATGAAAAATACAAATATACCTTACTATACCTTACTATAGTTCCCCTTTTGTTATGGAACTTAAGAGCTGTGTTGTTATAATGAAGAAATATGGGCTATAGAGAAGAACAAAAGAGAAGTCTATAACTCTGAAGAAGAAAAGAAAGATTTACACAAAAGACTAGCTAAATAAGGTGGAAAGAGTGCGTGGTACTTCATGAAGATAGACAAAATGTGCCAAGTCTAAGTATATGAGGAGCTCGATACACATGTGGAATGAAGAGGAAACAAGGAGCCGGTCGCCACAAGTCAGTGCACGTTATTCTCTAAGTCATTGTTCACTTCTACATCCAGATTACCATCATCAGTTACATCTTCCCCAAGCACAGAATTCCAGTCTTTCATCCTTAGCAGGCTCTCCATCAGAGACTGGATATTGAGTAAAAAGAGAAAACAAAATAGAAGGTAATGACTCATGATAATAGCTTTACAATTTAGAACTTAACTCATCTGAAATTCAATCCTGAGCCAATGAGATGGCTCGGCAGGTAAAAGCATCTGCCACTTAGACTGATAATCTGAGTTTAATCCCCAGAACCCACATGGTAGGAAAATTGCCTCCCAAAATTTGTCTTCTGAACTCCATACCCACATCATGGAATGCACACACCTGACACATACATACACAAGTAAGTGTTTAATTATTATAATTTTTTAAATCAATCCCCATAAATAAATCCTTTTGTGCCCTAAGTATCTGTCTGCAATTGAGATATGTAGATAGTTGGTTTTATTTTCTAACTCCACATTTAGGGACTATTAATCCTGAAAAACTAACTTGCTGAACATGGTACATCTTTTACCCCACCACTCAGAAGGAATAGGCAGGCAGATCTATGTGAGATGGGAGCCAGACTGATGTAATAAAGTGAGTTCTGGTAATATAAAAATACCTCTTGAAACTCTGTATGCAAAAAAAAGTTATTATGAATATTATGGAAGGGAGGGATGGAGGAAGGGGAGGTAGTGAGGGAAGGAAGGATGAAGAGAAAAAGGAAAAGAAAGAAGAGAAAACAAAATCAAATGCAGTGTTTTATAACGGTTCATTCTTGTTAACTACAAAGCTACAAAATATTTTCTTTTGTGTGTATCATACACACATGAGTATGCAGGTGCACATACAGCTGCAAGAGCATGAGGTAAGAAGATGCAAGTGTCTTCTTCCATCATACTCTAGCTTACTGCCTCGAGACAAGACCTCTCATGGAATCAGAACTCTACTATCTCAAAACCATGGCAGCTCAACAGGCTCTAATCTCCACTGTCTCTGTCCCCTGTGCGGGGCTCTCAGGCATGCGCAGCCATGCTCTTTTATGTGGGTGCTTATAATTCAAACTCAAGTCCTTATGCTTGCAGACCAAGTGCACAAACCCACTAAACCATCTCCCCACTTCCTAAAATACTTTCTTTTGACATTTTTTATATTTTTTTTACTAATTTACAGTTGGACTGGAGAGATAGCTGAGCAGTTCAGGACTCATTACTCTGCTAAAGCATCTAAGCTCTTTTCCCAGCACCCACATCAGATGGTTCACAACCACTTGTAACTCTAGCTCCAGGACATCCAGTGGTCTCTTCTGGCCTCTGTGGGAAGCATGCAGGCAAGTGGATGGCACTTGAAGAAACCATCCTGAATGAGGTAACCCAGTCATGAAAAAGAGGAACACAGTATGTACTCACTCATATATGGATTTTAGACCTAGATCAAATGATCACCAGCCTATAATTCACATCACCAGACGAACTAGGATACAAGGTGTATTCTAAGAGATTCATATAAAGTCTCTCACAGAAATGGGAAGGGGCAGTTCACCCAGTGCTCAGGGGAAGTGGGGGGGGCAGCGAATGGAGAGAAAAGGAGGGGGAGGAAAGGAAAATATGTGGGACCAGGAAGATTGAGCCCGGTTAGGAATAGAAGATGAGAGAGAGAGAGAGAGAGAGAGAGAGAGAGAGAGAGAGAGAGAACATAAAAGATGGAGCCAGTAATGGTTTGAAGATAAAATTGAATGCAAAGAAAGGTCTAGAGACCTACAAGACTGCTGCCAACTAACAATCTGAGATTCCATGGAAAGGCTACCATAAATGCCCTTCCCGGAGAGTGAGATCAACAACTAACTTATCCATGGAGTTCTAAACTTGTGCCTGATGGAAACAGGAGCAAACATCCATACATAAACACTGAGTCAAAGTAGAACCTGGATGAAGATGGAGAGGACAAGACCAGAAACACGTAGAGACAACTTACCTGAACAAGAAGGAGCTAATGGGCCACCAGACTGATAGCTGGGAAGCCAGCATGGGACTGACTCAGGCCTCACTGATTATGCATCTCAGCCAGAAGGACTGAGCAGTCTAAGAGACCTCAGACAGTGGAGCCAGGATGTATCCCTAGTGCACAAAAGGACCTTGCTGACACATCCCCCATGGAGGTATAACTGCCTTAACCTAGAGACAGGAGAGAAGCCCTAGTCCCTACTTCACATGACCTGTCAGATCTACATGACCCCAACTGGATGGCATTCCCCTACATATGGAAATTGCATGGGGGGATGGGAGGGGAGGGTGGCTAGAGTGCATGTGAGAGGGCATAGAGTGTAAAAGGGAGGGAAGGAGGGAAGGAGGGAGGAAGGAATGAAGGGAGGGAGGGAGAGAGGGAGAGGGAACTGGGATGGACATGTAAAATAATAAATTAAATGAAAAAAATGCTTTGACTCCAAAATTTAAGTTCAAGGACAAGTTACTGGGGGAAAAGGATTTCTATTTTTGTCTCCACAGAAAATGAAAAGATGTGGATTCCTTCCAGACTAATGTGGTTTGATCAAGCCAGCCTTCCTGAAACCGAGTACCAGGTGATCCTACATTCAAAACAGCTTGACAAATAGCCTTAAAGACTACAGCCAGGATTTCTGCATCTTCTTGGAATTACCTTGATAGAGCCCCTTACCAGCAGGAAGTAGTTTGGAAAAATGATGCCCAAATTCCCAAATATTGTCTAATGTTTGTTTTCATTTAAATGGTCTTGGTCATATAAAACAACAAAAAGGTAAAAATCATTATTTTATTTCTTTATTCATGAACTCCAGGCTAAAATACTGGAGAACAAAGACATGGAGTGTTAACATATATATTACAAATCTATGTATGTTCTAGAAGCATTTGAAATGTAACAAAAAGACACAATAGCAAATAAAAGCTGTTAAAATTATTTGAATTTACAATTAAGTATAAAATTGTGACCAACTAATGACTAAACCAAACAAGCCATTACCTTGATCTGATTTTCCTTAACTTTTAGGAGTTGCTCTGCCTGTACGTTGGATACTTCGATTGCTATTTTCTGTTTATTGAGTTGATTCATTTGTTCTTTCATGATTTTAGCTTCTTCTAAATACTGATAGGAAAACAATAACAAGGATATTAAAGACACAATTTTTACATGAATGTTTTCAATATCATTAAAAGATACTAAATGTGTCATTAAATGATATTTAAAAAGATAGGGCTGCTACTTAAATAGGGACTCAGATGTGGTTCCTTTTTATAATGAACTTTCAAAGCAGAAGACTATAAAATAAGAAATACTCTTCAACTGATTTCCAAGGAAAATTTTCATCAAGTACATGATTTTGACACATACTTGTATGAAAAATCTAGTCAATTATTTCTATCTTTGTACCCTATATACTCTGCTACATCTCATTACTTTTGTTTGTTTGTTTGTTTTGTTTTCCCAATAGAGTTTCTCTGTATTGCTTTGGAGCTTGTCCTAGAACCAACTCTGTAGACCAGGCTGGCCTGGAACTCACAGCAGAGATACAACTGCCTCTGCCTCCCAGGTGCTGGAATTAAAGGTATGTGCCACCAATGTCCACATATATATATATATATATATATATATATATATATATATATATATATATATATTCTGCAGATAATCTGAGCCTGAACTTCACTGTGAGTTCCAGTTTAGCCTGGTATACATGGTAGGACTTTGAAGTGAGGATGACTCAGCTTTTATTATAGTAAGGACAATCAACACAGGAGTCCTCACCACCATGTTTTCTAAAATCTGAGATGATAGAACAAAGATGTGAAAGGAAAAGACATCAACCCCAAAAGAAAATGGACAAACAGAACTAACACATGTGAGACCAAACAATCCACAGACAATAGAAGAAACATAAGCCAGTTAGAAAAACATAAAATAAGATGACTTGACACAATCCAGAGAGGCTCATGATTGAAAGCAGTAGTAGTAGAGGGAGGAATGGAAACCAAAAGGGAAGAATTAGGGAACTGGAGAGACAGTAGAGTAGTTAAAAGCACATACTGCTCTTGCAGAGGACCCACACTCAATTCCCTGCACCTGCACGGAATAGCTCACAGGTGCCTGTAATTCTACATGATCTAATGTCCTCCTCTAGTCCCTATGAATGCCTGAACATATACACACATACCAACACACAGAAGCACACACATGCTCCTGATATCTCTCCTATTACCTCCCTGTACCTGTCTTCTCTCAAACATGCATATACACATCACATTTTCTGCCACTCATCACATTTTTTCTTTTATGCATACATACAGCTGAGTGTTTCATCCCTACTGGCAAGCTTCAATAGTGCTGTAAGGTGTTATGCATACAGCAGTACAAAACATATTCATCAATATCACCTACCTGTGAAGCACACAAGCTGAAATAACAACCCAGCAGCAAGATGTGGCTTATGGTACCACAGTAGCATAAGTGTATTAAAGTAAGCAACCACTTTCTATTTGGATTTAAGGCCAACCAGCTCAATGAGATGAAATGTTGTCCAGCACAGCAATGCACACCTTTCACCTCAGTGCCCAGGAATCAGAGTCAGGTGGAATTCTGTGAGATCAAAGTCATCCTGATCTGCATAGGGAGCTCCAGGATAGACAGAATTACTTAAGGGAGATTATTCTTTCTAAAAAAATGAGGTGGACCATTCCTGACACTGGTAAGGCCTCTAGTCACTACACACAGTTACACACATGTATCCATGTGCACAAATGAACACACACTCACACCCACAAACACACTCAACAAATCAGGTAGTCGTCACTATCATTATCATGGAAGGGCTTTAAAGTTAGTCTCTCCAGTATTTCTTGGATTGCTATTTGGTCACGGAAGGCCTCACCTTCCATGGGAAGCAGAAAGGGGATAGGGTGGGTTTTGGTGGGAGTTATAGGCATGAATGGGAACATGAGGGAACTGAGATTGACAAATTTGTTTCAAATTTAAATAAAAAGGAAAAAAAAACAAAATTTAAATTATCACAATAAATAGTTCTAGTAACCCACAGTTTCAAGAGTTTCCAGAATGTAAGAATCCAACATATTAAAGAAACCCTATGTGACACATCATCACACAATCTCAGAGAGCTAAAGACAACAGAAAGATAATGTTTGAGGAGAAAAAAAGGGCAGAAAGCAAAGAAGGTCCCATAATCAACACATCATTCAAGTTTCAAAACCAAACATGGAAAGGGAAGACAATGCAGCAATATCAAAGTTTTATTTTAAAAAAAATGCAGCACAGCAGATAGATCTCCTGGTTTGAGGCCTGCATGAGATTATAGTGAGTTCCAGAACAGCCAAGACTATTACACAGAGAAACCCTGTCACACTAACAACAACAAAAGCAGAATCAAAACACCAAGAAGTGCAAATAAGTATCTAAATATCTGAAACATGAAAGAGAACAACGAGTTAGAGCAATTTCTCAGTGGTTAATACCATGTACTGTTCTCCAAGGGGTCCTGAGTTCAGTTCCCAGAACCTATATCGGGCTCATCACAGCCACTTATAACTCGAAGTACAGGAGATTCAACATCTTTCCCTGGCCTTTGAGAGCACCTTAATCATGAACACAAATGCACACAAATAACACATGCACAAAATTAAAAAATAATAATTAATTTCAAAATAAAATCTTTTTTTAAAAATGGAAAATAAGACCTTTACAGCTATGCAATCTCCTTTTAAAATTACCTACTGTACCTTATTATCTGAAAGATAAACAAGTTAATGAATCACAAATATTCTCTTTTGAAACAGGAAACAGAACATTTAAGATAAGGAAACAAAAATCCTTGGCTGCTGAGTGAACTGTAGTATCAGGACAAAAATGCCCAGTAGATCTATAGAACACATTTTTCTTTTTCTTTCTTTGCTCTCTCTTTCCTTCCTTCCTTCCTTTCTTCCCTTCCTCCCTTCTTTCCTTCTTGGAGACATGATTTCTCTGGCTATCCAGGATCTCATTCTGTAGACTTGGCTGGGCTCAAAGTCACAGAAATCTACCTGCTTCTGTTCACAGTGCTGGGATAAATAGGTATGTGCCACCAATGCCACTCATTACACATTCTTATTGGACTAGGAGAATGTAAGATTCCAAGAAAAATGGCCCCCAGAAGAAAATGAAGGAGGAGTCCAAGAATATCTATGGTTATTTCAGGAGACCTGAATTTGGTTCCCCTTACAGACTATGTTAGGGATCTGATGCTTGTGGCCTCCAAAGGTACCTGCACTTGTGTGCACATATCTACAATCAAGTTACACACATGCACATAATTAAAATAAAAAAATAGAAGAGGAAAAATCTGGCAGTAGGCACACACATACCTATGAACCTAGCAATTAGGAGACTGAGTACCTCAGTAAGTTCCAGGTCACCCTGAATTACAATACAAGACACTCTCAAAAAATAAATAACAATAATAATAATAATAGAATTGTAAATGAACAAATTAGCCAAGGCAGTTGAGTGATTGACATTTCCATTGAGATAGATTACAAATATCCATTACAGGAAGCCAAGTAGTAAAAAAAAATAAAACGTCGGGCAACTCAGGATATATAGTCAAGACAGACAGAGAGGAGGGTGAGGATAAAAGGTAAGTTGTCCCTTTACATTACCCAAGAACTCCTCCCTCCTCTAGGACCCCAATTGGTAATCTGTTAACTCTTACTGCAGTCTTTATTGTGAGGAATCCTGTTAGCCGATGTCTCCTGTGAGAGTAAAAATTCTGACTGCCTTCTCTCACGGGAGAAGACAGATGGAAGAACACACTTTTAAATCCTTTATGGGAGTCTGCAGGGGAGACTTCCTGCTCTAAGAAGTTTACTCGTTCACTACACAACTCCACACATGGTTCATTCGTGAGGTGCCCAGAACATCAAAGGCTATATTCATATCTAAAAGAATATCTGTAGTCTACAAACCCTGATGCACGCTTTCCTGAAGTTGATAATTTTCATTCAAGGTATCTGTTATTACTCCTTTAAGTCGTTCTTTATTTATTTCAAATATTCTTAGTGTGGTTTTGGCCTAAGTAATAGAAATACACCGTTTAAAACAATTTAACAGAAAGCCCCCTGATTATGTCTTTTCTGAAGAACATAAAATGTAAGCAAAGGCCAAAACATTCCACTATTTACAGCAGAGGAAGTATCAACACTACTTTGATACACTCATTTGCCACATGACTTTGAACAAATTATTGAATCTTCCATGTACAATTCAGACAATTTTGTTAACTACTGAAATAGAAAAGAACAATTATTAGTTACAGAATTACTGGTTTATTTAGCGGCTTACTTAAAACACTGCCTTACTGCCTATTTGCTACCAGGAAGGGAATAACCTGGAGAAATAGCTGAAAGAATGGGTTGTCACCCTTAGCAACCTGCTACTGCCATGTACACTTTAGAAAAATTTGCTTGCTTGCCTGCCCACTTTGTGATTTTAAAAAAGAAACTCTAACCAGAATTGAAGGCTTTCTGGAGGTCTCATGAGGACAGTCCACTGGTGACCTCTCTCTTCCATGCTCACTAGTGCAGGAGCAGATATTAGAGAAAGACCCCATACTCCTTACTCTTTGTCTCATGACCTAAACTTTATATGGCAGGAAGCAAATCTATTTATTATCGATACATGTTACACAACTTCAAGAGTGCTCAGATACATTCCTAGGTTAAATATATCCAGAGGAAAATGAATTTCAATCAAGGTAACACATTAAAACAAATGCATATTTAAGCTTGGCTACATTTCAAATACTAACAATATATTATTACCTAATGTGATGGCTATGTTTGGTTATCAACGATAACTGGAATTAACTAAAACCCAAGGAAGCTGTGAGTACTGTTTCTAAATTAAATCATTTCAAGTGGCAAGACCCAAATTTAATCTGGATCTTTTGAGGTGGGAAGATCCACCTATATTCGGGGCTATACCTTCTGGCAGCAGCCTATCTAAAGGACATGGAAGGAGGAAGCTTGCTGGTCCTCACCCTCACTGGCATTACAGCTTACTTCTTTGGTATTCCAGTGTATACTGAGTATCAGGTGAGACATCCAGCCTCATGGACTGAGAAAGTGTTGGATTCTTGGACTCTCTGTTGGTAGACTGACATTGCTGGACTGAGTGGAACACAGCCTGGAAATCGCTTTAATAAATACCCGATATGTTCTGTTCCTCTAAAAAAACTCTGACAAATATACCCAATAATAATATGAAACATAAATGGTCTTCAGAAGTGACAGACCAATTTATTTCAACTTAACTTACTTCAGCTAGCTGTGATTTGACAGACTGTGATTCATCTGCTAGAGACTGCATCATTTTTGAAAGGTCACTCATCTGAAAAGACAGTATCAGTCAATAAGTATTTAATAAGTCCATTTTGCTCCAAGACAACATGTATTAGTTAGGTACATTGTTAGTTTACTGTTAATAAAAGGGAGAGGCCAGATGAGGAGGCCTTGTCAGCTTGCATTCCAAGTGCTCACAAGGATTTTACAAATTATGTAATCACATGATGTCCTTACAAATGCAATACATCATGGAACTTTTCAGGTTTAAGGTGAACCCACTAATTTAAATAATCACACACACATCAAGATTTTGCTTAATCCAGAATTTAAAGTAAAATAAAAGATATTCTTTATGGTTGCTTGCAACGTAAATATTGAAATTTTCCATTTAAAATAACAAGCGAGCCAAGTGTGGGGGTGCACACTTGTAATCCCAGCTCTTAAGAGGCACAGGCAGGAAGGTAATGAGTTTGAGGCCAGCCTCACTTATACATACAGGGCTATATTCTAAGACTATGTCAATAAATATAAACAAGAACACAGGAATATGCACAAGCCACTCATCATAACATCTAAAAAGTAAAAGTTTGATGGGAGGTGTTGGCACATGCCTTTAATCCCAGAAAACAGGAGGTAGAGGGAGGTGGATCTTTGTGAGTTCCAGGCCAGCCTGGTCTGCATAGTGAGTTTCACAACAGCCAGAGCTATTGTACAGAGAAATCCTGTCTTGAAAAAACAAAACATAACAACAAATAAACAAAAGAGGTGAAAAGATCAGATCAGATGTGAAAAATTTTGTTCTCATATTATTCTACATCATTTTTTTTCTTTTGATTTTTCAAGACAGGGTTTTTCTGTGTCACTTTGGAACCTTCCTGGAACTCGTTCAGTAGAGCAAGCTGGCCTCAAACTCCCAGAGATCTGCCTGCCTCTGCCTCCAGATTGCTAAGATTAAAGGCATTTGTCAAGAATGCCCAGCCTGCATTCCATTTTTTACATACATGAGTTTCTTTACATTTTTGAAGATAGTATATCCTCTCTCTGTTCAGGGCAGGACAGCTTGGAACTGTTGTTTTTTCCCTACCAAGTGCTGGTATTATAAGTTTGTGCCACTTTGGTTGGCTCACATATAATATTTTAGTCAATATTTAATTTATATGTAAGATTCATAATTCTCTTGGAATATATAAGACTCACCAATTCCTCTTCTTCATAATGTTTAGCTCTCTCTTCTTCTAGTTTCTTCTCTATAAGTAATATTTCTTCTTCAAGTTTAGATTTATCTCTTTCTAGATTTTTATAAGTTGCCTAAAATAGAAAGCTAACTTTAAACAAGCCAAACATAAGAATTTTTCGTTAGGGTAAAAATCAGATGAGTATAGGGTAAAAATCAGATGAGTATACTCAAATTAATAAACACTTTACACATTCTTTCATTTCTCAAATATTAAAATAACAGCAGATTTATCAGTTGCCAGCAACTTCTATAAAAAAAAAAGTGTAAGTATTTTAGGTGCCCACCAGTTAACCATGGCAAACAATGAATACCCCCTGAAGGAATTAAAACAGTTGTATTCCAAAAACACTTTTATGTAAAAATAAAGAAAAATTAATGAGTTTATTTGGAGTCTAAACTCCCTGTGGATTCTACAAAGGCATTCTACATCATAAGACACAGACTTGCTACTCAGGACAGAGGATGACAGAACTGCCATTCTGGACTGAACACATAATCAAAGGGACAAAGTTTTTTTCTGTTTTATCATTGGGAGGAGCAGGATATTTCTATTTACTATACAGGCTCACAACTCAGTTTTAATAACCGTTCCACTTGCAAAGAGTATTGAGGCACTTCATCACATCATACTCTGTCTGTTAGGACGAGTCATTGTGTCCTCTGAATCAGGAGAGTTAACTGTCCATCTCTCCTAAACTCTCCATTCTGTGAAATCATGGTTATGGACTGAAAACTGGCTGTGATGGAGTGTGTAGACAAGGGTTGATGCACAGAAAGGATTAAATATTTATCACCATGCTCTTTACAATGTAAACCTCTGGTCTAATTTTAGTAAATGTCTACTACCATGGTAAGAAAAAAATAATATGGTTACAACTTACTTGTCTGCTACTATGCTTAAATTTGTGAGAGTTCTATGTCTCTTTCCTGGAGCAAACTATGTCAAAAGTAGGAATTGTCTTTCCAATCCTTTCACCGGAGTACAGAATGCAGAATTTTTTTCTTTCTATAAATCTATAGCTTCTGATAAACTGATTTTATATCACTCAAAACAAGTTAATGACAAGAGTTGAAACTGTTATATTTTAAAATATTTTATGCTACCTACAAATATTCTGTTTCCACTAACTTTTTCTGTACATTGTAAGATCCAGATACACAATTTCATATTTCTCTGACATAATTATTTTTGAGGAGACAAGATATTTCTAATAAGAATCTTTTCCCTAGCTTTTATATCATATTTTTTTTTTTACCTTCAAACTCTGTACTTCTGTTGATGCCTTGTCAAAGTTGTCCTCCTTTAAGGATGACTCTAAGCCTTCATACTGAATGAAACAAGGGAACACGTGAGGAAAAAAATATAAATTTTATCTCAACTTGTATCTAAATAGACACCAAAGAAGGAAACAGAATTTATATCCACCATGTAAAGTACCCTTGGATTTTCTGAGCTTAGTTTTGCAATCTAAACACTGTGCTGAGGAAAGCCAGGTCTACAAACAAGCCACAACCATCAGCCTAGGCAACATATGGCAGAACGTTTCCATTGTGACTAGCAAAGTTGCCCCCACATCTGCTGGGGCTGAAAACCCTAACAGCAAGTGTGACTAAAGTGTATCTAAAGAAGTGAGTCATCTACTATCCCCTGAACGGATTAATGGCTTCTCCAGTCTGTCAGTAGAACAATATGTGGTAACTGGCTATCAGACATTTATATCATGTGATAAATAAGGCAAGTAAGGAAGATAAAATCTGTGAGTTGCAGACCACCCTGGTCTACAGAGTGAGTTTCAGGACAGCCAGTGATGCACAGAGAAACCCTGTCTCCTATATCTCAGCACCTCAGAATTTGTGTTATTTAGAGACAAAGCCTTTGAATACAGGTAGGTTAAAAGGAGGGATTTAAGATGACCGCAACGTAATATGACTGATATCCTATGAGGAGAGCACTAGGACAGAGAAAGACACAACAAGCAGACAGTACTATCTAAAGTCAAGGGACAGGTCAGAGAGGAAGCAAAGCCTGGCTATATCTCCATGGACTCGTTTCAAGAACTGTAAGAAAATTCACTTCTGCTGCTAAAGGTATTTTGTCACAGTAGTCCTAGCATGTCCAAATGAAAACAGTAAAAAAAGTCTCTACATGATAACAAGTAAAAGTACCTTTACATCCTTGATAAGCAAAAAATCTCATGAAACATTACACTACATTAAATTGTAATTCAAATCCTCTACCTTCTAAGACACCAAACAAAACAGAAATGTAAGCCACAGAGTAGAAGAGATTTACAATCCATATATCTGAAAAAAAAAAACTCTTATATATGACATAAAATAGTAAAAGCAAAGGCCCTAATCTATATGGCATAAACTGAGAAAGATTACGAGTGCATTTAAAAGGATGGAAATGCGCAAGTGAGATGGCTCAGTAAGTAGTTAAGGAGCTTGCTGCCAAGACTGATAACCTGAGTTCAATCCCAGGGACCCAAGTAGTAAAAAAGAGGAAAGTGACTCCTCCATGTCCTATGATCCTATGATCACCACACAAATGCCTTCTTGGTACACACCTACACACATAGACACAAATAGACACACAATAAAAACAAAGTCATCTTTTAAGGTGGATAAGACATAAAAGGCAATTTTACAATATCTAAATGAGCAATAAGCAAATCAAGGTGCTCTGACTAATTAGTCAGGGAAGGTAAACACTACACATCACCAGGGTGGCTGCAAAGAGAATGGCTAAGTGATGAAGTTGAGCAGCAACAGAGCTCTGGTCTGAAACAAAGCTCTGATGGCAGACAATAACCCATGGAGAACAATTAAGCTCCACACTGTGATGGGTGGTATTTTCAAACACATCTTACCTCCTCTTGAGCAAGGCACACTTTGTCAATTAGATCACATTTCTTTTTGATTTCCATTGCAAGTTCCACAGCCAGTCTATTCTCTCTTACTGAGCAAGCAAAGGAAAGATTATTATGACTAAAGTGTGAAAACGCTTTAAATTAGATACAATCACAAGATCTAAAATCAAAAAAGACTACTTACTCAAATAAAGTCGGCTTTGAATCTGAAATATAAATTTAACAAAATTACATTAAAACAAATATATCTTCAAGCAAATCTATCTGACTTCTACTTCCAGCTTTAAGACGCCAACTTTCTTATGGCCTTATGGTAAATAAATTACCCAAAAGCCTTCTATTTCAAATGAAAACAATGCTATATAGTAAGGTCTCCCATTGTGTGGTATCATGTGTGTTATTATATTAAAGGCTCTGAAACAGTCTCATTCTAAAGAAAACTGTATAATTACACTTAACCCCATGTTTCCCATGCATATATTGGCTCTAACAAAAAGTATTTTAAGGAGCCACCATTATTAAATCTCCTACGGTTAATAATCAAAATAAAAATATATGAAATATCATTGGATTCTAGACCTTGACTGACTAAAAAACTCATTAGTCTTTTTTCTTCTTCATACTTCAGCTTTTGATGAGGAAGGGATAAATCCACCCTTGAGAACAGTGGGGATAGGGTAAAGTGGTCAAGGGACGCAAACAAGAACACTCATGCCACCTAGAAAACAGAGACAGAAAACTGGAAGAAAAAAATTGACAAAAAAACAGTGGGATATATGTAAGCAGAAGGTAAGGAAGAAAAAACCATGAAGACATTAGAAATGAAGTCAGTCAGAAGCACAAAGGCCAACATCTAAAAAGAAGTCTCAGAAAGAAAAGGCTATGTTATGACTCCCTCCTTAAAAACAGTTAGCATAGGAAAAAGCAATATAGGATCCAGGAGAGCCATGAAAGTAGCGATTTTTACTCTTAGTTGGGAAGTAGATACAGCTGCAAACTTTTTAATATTGTTAAAAACAAACACAGACACCCCAAATTTAAAGAAGAAAAGGGAAAGAAAGAAAGTTGAGGCTTTAGTACTAGTGTGTAGTATCCCTACAATAAAATCCTTTAAAATATACTTACATAAAAATATTTCTGTTAATCCCTGTTCAGTTTTTAAAAACCACCTGTTAGCATAACGCAGAACACTAAGACCTAACTCATTTCCCTGAAATAACAAGTTTCTCCAATTAGTTGTTCAGTCTAAACACAAAATGAAGGTTAGAGAGAAATGGCTCAGAGCATTTGTTAGTCTTGCAGAGGACCAAGATTCAATGCCATCATCGACATTATAGCTCACAGTCATCAGTAATTCCAGCTCCAGGGCATCCAACAATGGCCCACTAATCACTTCTGTAGACCAGGAACACATAACACACACACATACATACAAGCAAAACAGTCATACACATAAAAGGAAATAAACTAAAAAACAAAACAAAAAAACCCTAGAATGACCATTCACTTATTATAAGTGGCTACTTACTGATCGGTATCCTCTCCAAAGAAATAAGAAAATGGTAAGCAGTACAATGGCAACCACACATATCAGCGATTCTAATGATGGCTCACTAGGATCAAAGCTTGTTGTCATATCTTCAGGCACTGCTGCCACAACCTTCGAGACAAAGAAAATAAACCTATAAGCATGCTTCTTCAACAGTACTGGTACAAAGACAGGCGCAGTTGGCTGTGGCCAACTCTATTCATATTGAATGGGCTACCATAAAATACAAAGCAGAATGCCTCCAAACATGTTTTCTAGTAAATTACAATTGTTCTTATTGAGGGGCTAAGTGTGGTGAAACAGTAGTTTTCAAACAGAAGTTATGGGGAGATTCCAGGAGAGTTAAAGGATAAGGATATAGTATCAAGAAAAGACTGTGTTTCATTCTTTTATGTTGCATTTGTTTAACTCTGTAAAGCTACATTACTTTGCCTGTCTAAAACACCTGATTGGCCTAATGAAGAGCTGGACAGACCAATAGCTAGGCAGGAAAAAATAGGCAGGGCTGGCTGGCATGCAGAGAGAATAAATAGGAGGAGAGACCCAGAGAAGATCCAGGGACAAGAGGAGGAGGACACCAAGGGCACCAGTCACAGAGTAAGAAGGAAAGCAAGGCATATAGAAAGCAAGGGAAAAGAGCTCAGAGGCAACACATAAAGAGAAATGGGATAATTTAATTTAGAAAAGCTGGCTAGAAAAAAGCTGAGCTAAGACCAGCCATTCGTAAGTAAGAATAAATCTCCATGTATTTATTTAGGAAATGGGTGAGGGACACCATCCCTACCAAAGATTTTTAACATCCAGTAAAAAAAAAAAAAAAAGTATCAATGATCTGGATTGGGTTCTTTTCCCTGAGTTTAAGTTCATGATTTATCCATATGCACTGGGTTTGAAATAACATTTCCTGCAGAGGAAAAACACTTATCTGCAGCTTGTCCTCTGAGGAAGGGAGAGTGACAAGAAACAACTGACAGAGCTTCAGAGTTGGGATTTAAACCCTTCCTTCCTGTCTCTTGAGTTAAATTAATGCAGTTGGAGCCCAAAAAGAAAATGGCTCTTTCAAAAACAACCCTAGAAATGATGGGCTTGACTCTTTCCAGGCATCAACATACACCATCTAGAAACTCCACAGCTGTCTTCTCCTTGGGGTCTGACAAAATGAACAACAAATCCTTAGATAATTACTATCTATAAAACCTGTTTTATGCTAGTACATGACAAGGACCTTTTACAAGCTGCTATCTACAGCTTCTACCAAAAAAAAAAAAATATATAATGCAATAGTATCCTCTTTTTTTATTCCCTGTATCTTTATTTTCCTTTTTACATCTGTGACTCCAGAAAGGATCCAAAGTGTAGGTGCACAGCCTCTGCTCTGGGTTTTATGGAGAGTTCCTTTAATCTTGTGTTTTAGATCCTTCAGGTACAGGACTGACCTTGCAAGGGCTCAGAAAAGGGTTAAAAATATTTTATCCTGGTCCTGTCTCTTTCTCACCTGAGCCACATACACAAAAGTGTGATATCATGTTGCAAGGCAATGATAACAATGATTTGCCTCTAGGATCACAAGAACAGATATTCAGGCATGGCAAATATTTCGATTATCTCTCTCCAAAGACTATGAATGTATAACCAAGCCCTCCACATACCCTCTAAAATATTCTTCCACATCTCACAGAGTAATTAATTGCATATATTATCTCTTCCTGAATCCATCTTCCCTCAGTGGGTTATTCTAGTCTTTATCACCAGGCCCCAATACTAACTGATCATAAACAAGTAGATTGACTCCTCTGATAGCAGGTAAAAAGACTAAGACTAAAACTGTTACTAGACACAAAGATGTGATTGAAAAGGCTAGCTCAGTCTTTAAGTTGTAGGATTTTATGCAAGAGAACCACAAAATGAAGTAAAATCTGTTGAAGTAAGGATAAAACAAACCGTTCATCAACAGTAATTATTTTTAGATCTCACTTTCAGTGAGTCAGCATGAAAAGAGAACAAGGTAAAAAACACTACAAATAAGTTAGACTATCATATTAGCAAAATACTATGCAATAATAGCAGAAAATACATTCACTCTCAAATGTACATGGAAGATTCTTCAGAAAAAATCCAGGCACTAAGCTAAAACACACCTCAATGGTTTCTTTGTTTGTTTTTTTTGTTTTGTTTCTTTAAATAATCAAATCACAGGGCCAAGCCCAAAGAAATGGCTCAGCAGCTGAAAACATTTGCTGCTCTTGCAGAGGAGCAGACTTCAGTTCCCAGAATCCATGTCAAGAAGTCCCTAAGTGCCTGCCCATGACTCCAGCTCTGTGAGATCTGATGCCCTCTTGCTGCTTCCTTGGGCAGCTGAAGCTTACAAACACATACACACATACAAATAGTTTAAAATAGTAAAAATTCAATTAAAAAATTCCCATGTCAAGAAGCATCTTCTCTGATTACAACGGCTTAAAATTAGTTATCAAAAAAACAGGAAGGGCTGGAGAGAGAGCTCAGCAGTTAAGAGCATTTGTCATTCTTGTAGATAAATGACCCATGTTTGGTTCCCAGGATCCACTTGGTGGCTCACCACTATCTATGACCCCATTTCCAGGTTTCTTTAAGCACAGCAAACATGTGACACATGGACATACATGCAAGAGCAAAACATCCATGAACATAAAGGATTTTTTTCAAATAATAAAATGCAACACAAAACAACGAATTCAGTGTGTAATAGGAAAATTTATAGTCATAAAAGATTTTGTAAAAAAAATATGTGGGGACAAGGGCTGGAGAGATCTCACAATGGTTAAAAACATTAGCTAGTTGTCAAGAGGTTCTGAGTTCAGTTCCTAGCATCCACACGGTAGCTCACAACCATCTGCAATGAGGGTGCCCTCTTCTGGCTTGCAGGGATATAAGGAGAAAGAACACACTATATATAATAAATAAATCTAAATAAAAATTTTAAATATTATTGGTCCAGGAAGATAGCTCAGCAGGTAAAAACTTTGCCACCAATCCTCAGGACCTGTGTTTGACCCCCATCACCAATGTGGTAGAAGGATAAAACCGACTCTTGGGGCTTTGCATTTACACACACACACACACACACACACACACCATATATACACAGAAAGGTATGTAATGTTCAGTTAAAAAACCCAATGTCAAAATCCACAGTAAAAGAAATGAAGAAAAAGAAGATCTCAACAGATAGTAATAAAATATGTAAGAAAATCAACCTTCTAATCATCAGGAGACTGCAAACTAGGACTACTTTTCTCAATCTGACAAACAGCACCAATAGAAAACTCACAGCTAACACCATCCTGAAGGGGAGAGGACTGTTCCCTTACAAAATGCAACACACATCCACACAGCCCACTGAACCACAGAAAATCCAGACAAGTCTGCAAAATCCCTCCATGTTCCTCACCCACAACCTTATCAAAAATAAGTGTTGGTAACTGCTAGGTGCCTGTGTATTTTATATGAAAAGCCAGAGGCTGCTGTGGTAATGTCTTCCTTTTCTACCTCAATTTTTCTAAGGCAGAGTCTCTCACTCAATCTAGAGCTCACACATTCTCTGATAGACTGATTACCAGTGAACCTGGGATTCCTCTATTCACACCTCCACCCAGCATTTACATAAGGAACTCCAGAGCACTTTCCTTTCTGAACTGAGCCATCTCCCTAGGCCCTAATTGTGGATTCTGAGGGAGATGTGTGTGACCTGAAATCATCTCTCATCTACAATATGCTTCTCTTCCCATAAGCCCCATCTCAGTAACTTAACTGACACAGCCAGGAACTTGGGATTATTCTAGATTCTCCACACATCCCACCCCCCTCTCTACAGCTAATCAAGAAAGTCACACTCATTTTAGCTCTTATTTCTTCTTGCCCCATTTAGGACCAACTTCTCTAGATCCTTACCCCTATCAATTCTCCTTCCTGTGTTTTTTCCCTGACATTTGATTCTCATACTATCAGGAATATCTATACATTTTTTCTATGGGTCTCACCACTGATGAGCCTGTGCTGGATCTCACACCCCACACCAATCCTTGAGACCCACTGGTCTACAGTAAGCATCATTTCACATCAGGCCCTTGGCTCACTTATGCTGTGAGCTCCTGTCAATGCTGTTTTCACACCTCATCTACTGAAACTTATTTGCTCAGTCTAAAGACTTTCCCAGCAACCCAAGGAAAAAATAATCACTCCCTTCCCTTGTTTTGCATGTGTACTTCTATAGGCAATAGACTTCAACTGTGGATTAATTTTGTGTATTTTCTCCCCAAACAGCCAACATGATGAAAATGACCAAAATCCTAATTTCATTTAGAACCTCCATAGAGCATTTTTATTCATGAGCATGGCACTACTTACTTTAAATTCACAGAACATGAAGATAATTAGAACTGGCAGCAGCTCAAAAATCCTCCATGGGCACACCACGGTGGCAGTACGAGGCACCGCCATCCCTTCGCCCACGATGGGGGGCCTTGCAGCTGGACAGATGGACAGCAGCAGAGCAGAGCACAGTCAGGGGGGCACTGGGAAAGGGAAGGGTTCTGGGGCCGGCTGGCACCACTGCCCTCTCCACCTCCCTTATCTCAGTTGACGCGTCAACACTGGCACTCTGACCTCCAGCACCAGAGTCCTGGAGAGCTGGAGCAAGAGAAGCTGAAGCACCCAGTGTGGGGCTGCAGGCCTACACTCTGAGGCCTGGGGCACAGCCCCGGAGTAAAAGCTCAGCCCCCTATCCCCAGCTACTATTGCACTCTGTCCTATCAAGTCAAAAAACACTCTTCTATGGAACACTAAAAGCTGAAACACCAAGTTTGGGGCTACAGCCCTACACTCCGAGGCTGGGGCACAGCCCCCAGAGTGAAAGCTCAGCCCCCCAAGTTACAGCTACTATCACACTCTGTCCTATCCTCTACAGTCCAAAAGCCACACTGTAGTAGCTAGGCGGAAACTCTCCTACGCAGAGACGTCATCCTCTGTCATAATCAGTGTCAGAAAACGGCCTCTGATGTAAGAGACGATGACGCATTCACACTTAGAACTCACTGTGATCAGCCCAGTTATACTACTTGACTCCTAAGAAATATCCCTTCTTGACTCGGAATTAATAGCAGTGGTGTGTGTGTGTGTGTGTGTGTGTGTGTGTGTGTGTGTGCTAATTCCTGAGTGTGTGTGTGTGTGTGTGTGTGTGTGTGTGTGTGTACTAATTCCTGAAGACATTCTGCTCAGCACTGCCCTATTTAGCATCCTATTTGTAGGCCTCATGAAATAAGCTGATGCTCTTGTGTATCTCAAATGTAGGACCTGAGAGTCACTGCTCTGAAATGTCTTTTTATTTTTCAGGGTCAGGTCTCATTTCATTGCTCCATGAGCTTCCATATAATGACTGCTTTGAATTTACTCCAAGAAAACTATGTAGGAACTTGGCAAAGTATGTTGGAAAAGAAAAACAAAAACAAACAAACAAACAAAACAGACCATCTAAAGTTTTTAAGCAATAGAATTTTGGTTTGTTTTTCCCCCCTAAGTTACCTTCAGGGTGATTGAACAGAAGAATCAACTGATAAGTATTAATTGCCCTCAAGGAAGTTCTGGGAGCTACCTGTGTTTGCTGTACCCAATGAACCACACCAAGTTGCAAAACTAGGTACCACCTGGTACTTGCCCCAAATTCAGTTTATCACTTTGGACCATGTGGTTTTAGGGCAGAGCTGACTGGTATGGGGTTTTGGCCCCAACTAAGCTTTCATACATGCAGAATAAGCCTGAAACTCCAGTGCATGTGTGCTGTAGGCCAGCAGTACACTGTTCAAATACACTAAGCAGAAAATGTCAACATGGCATATTGGCAAGGTAGTGAAGAAGAGACTGAGATCCTTTATAATTTGGATCTGGTTGCATTCTTGATGACTCCTTTCATAGTTTTCTTAGTAGAATTTTTTTTTTTTTGTTTCTTGGAACAGGTTTTTCAGAGGCTGCCTGGGAACCTGCTCTATACACCAGGCAGATCTTGGACTCATAGAGATCTGTATACCTCAGCCTCAAAGGCTGGGATTAAAGCCTGCAACACTCCTGACTGGTTCTTAATAGATTTTCAATAGCTGTTGTAATCCTTTAGTTTGGAGATGGAGATATGATGAGTATATACCCACAAAAGGTTATTCTTTATTAGTAGTTTTTGGTATTACC